TCTTTAATCAGGTACGGGAATCGGAATCGGAACCATTTAAATTTTAAGAACCAAAATCGAAATCAAAACCTTTATACTAATGAATTAAGTATCGGAACCGAACCGGAATTTTTAAATTATAATGATTTTTTTAGGTTCCGTAATAAAATTGTTTTATTTTGCATAATATTAGTTTTATAAAATTAGTTATCACTACTTTGTTTATAAACATTCAGGGATCCATTCTCATAATATTTTTACTAATTATATAAAATGTACATTCCGGATAGGTATCTATTTAAAATTATTATACTTTTGAAGTTTTTATTACAAATATATTTATCACAAAAACGTATTATTGTGAAATGTCTATCCCAGTATACACTAAATATACATCATTTTAAATATTATTGTCTCCGAGGGGCGCTAGCCACCAGCAACCTGGATCCACCCATGATTATAGTATGTATATATAATATTATAATATATTCACTAGATAAGAAATAATATTATATTTTACTGATAACAGAGACCGGTACCTATATTTTTTTTAACAAAGAACCGGAACGAAATTGGAACAGTTATTTTATTTTCTGAGAACCTGTACCGGAACTGATAATGAGAAATTCAAACGGTTCCAGCCCCTGCTTTAAATATAACCCTGAGAGAAGAGAGTATGACTAAAAATAATTTCTAGTAATAAATGAAATATCAATAATTTAAATTTATTACCATTTGAAAAACATTTCTTAGATTTCTACTGATTTCTTTAATTAACAATAAATAATTTGAGTACAAAATAATTATAAAATTTAAGTGAAAAATTCCGAATGAAAAACCGATTGTAAATATAGTTAAAATAATAAGTACCAATACTTAATGTAGTGGTTTATAAAAATGTAACCCAACAGTCATATAATTAAAATATGAAACATACTGACCAAAAACACATGTTTGCACATACTTAAAAAACAATTGAGTTTATATACAAGTCATAGACAGAGAAACCTATATGACACATTATGTTATTTTGTTCCATAAAAATGTATTTTAAATTAATAATTAAATATATTTTTGACTTTTATAAATTTAAAATGAATGATAAGTTATTGAAAAAAATTCAAAATGTTATGATACAAAGTATATTATTATTAATATTTTTATATTTTAATTAATCTATCACCTTGTCATTTTTGATTTAAACCACAGTTAAAATCACTATTATTTACACATAATATAGGTGTATATAATTTTTGTACTAAACCATTCTATTCCTCATCTATCAATATTCGAAAAAACTGAATGAGTAAACTATGTTTAAATTATAGAAAAGTATATGGTTAGTTAAAAAATATTATATAATTAAAGGGAGTATATTTTTAACAATAATCAAAGAGCGCACTATTGTATTATGAATATTAAATAGAGTTTAATCAAACTTTGAAGATATTTAGGGTTCGCATTAAAACCACAATGTGTTAATTTTGCATAAAATGACTATATTGATAGACAAAACGTCAAAATCAAGCACTTGCATGACTAACTTTGATCTCAACAACTTGAATCTAAGGTCTCAAGAGGTTCTCTTAGGAAGAAAACCAAATACTCCCTAAAAGTAACAAAAACGTTACCTTTCTTGGTCATTATTGACTGTGAGCTTTTAATAATGAAAACTTCTGGTGAATTGGCTAGCAGGAAATTCAATCACTGTTGAAATGACGAGGTGCTACGATGTTTGTTTTACTCTTAATATATTTTCATTTACACGGGTCAAAGCAATATATAAAACGTTGGTAATAGCCAGTGCCGGATCTAGTATATTTTTTACCCGGGGCAAAGTATAAAATTAGCGCCCTCCCCCTTTGTTGTGCCTACAATTATACTTATGTATCAATTAAACTCTAAAGAAAAAAATTTAAGAGAATAAAAAAAAAATATATCTATTTGCTAGATTAGAAAAAATATGTATTAAATAAAAAACTTTAAATACAAATTATTACAAACTAATACATGAAAATAATCATTATACAATAATCAAATTATCATTAAATTTTGATTTTTCTTGCTTTTCTGGCGACAAAATCGTTAATTATATCGTCTTAATCTAAATTTTTGGCAATTTGATTTTCAATTGAAATAATTGAATTTGATAGTTGTTACATGTCGAAAAAAAATTAATTTATCAGTATTGTTAATCGGGTTTTAACATCATGGTTGTCTGATTATCGTAATTTATAGCTTGTAGATATCCTATTAGCAATAAAATATACTAGAATGAATCGCAGAAAATATATTTAGTAGACAGATAATATCCATTGGATTTTTGAGTTTATTGTTATAACCATAAAGTCAAATGGAGATAGAAATTGTAATTTGTACAAAAATTTTATTATAAAATGAATAAAAACTATTAATAAATATACACAACTTATTTTGTAATTTGGCGACCTCCGACCAAAAAGTCCGGGGCAAGTGACCCGGTTCACCCCCCCCCCCCCCCTAGATCCGGCCCTGGTAATAGCAATCAAATAAAATTTGAATTCATAGGTTACCTTTTAAGGTATCAAAGAGAAAGCAAATATTTATGTGTTAATATTTATAGTTTATATTATAACTAGTGCTTGAATTGGAAAGGGCGCATAGAGACGGAGCTCCTGTAAATTTTTTTTATTTTTCTACGTATCCCAACTATATTTTTGCACTAAAACGGGGTAATTCTAATCACGCTTAGTACCTTCATAAGAAAATATATTTTCGTAGATAATAAAAGATTATATGGTGGTTATGATAAGTAACGGCATCGTCATTTGAGGAAAAATATAAATAGTAATGTCTGATTATAATCAGACATATAGTTATAATTTGGTATATATGATATCATACTTTATTCATTGTATAGATTGTTATTAATATTATTGATATTAATATTTGAAATTTAAATTTTTGTGTAGCTAAAAAGTAGTATTAAAAATATATATAAAGTTTTTTAGAGGGGAGTGAGGGACGAAGCCCTCCACGGGACTGTGTTAAATGACTGCACACGTGGAACGCACTTTTTAAATCGTTGGACTGAGCTCCTCTAATTAATTTTTGCCAATTCAAGCACTGATTATAACGGTCGCGTAGGTTCAAAAACACAACTATGAAATCAATAAAAAAATAAATATGTATAAATATATTTATAACTCTCTAAGAAATAATAAAATTTAATATAAACTATCAAAGACAATTTTAAGACACTGCACAGCGTTATTTCGGTAACTTTTTAAAAGAAAAATAATTTTAATAAAACTGTAATTGAATTTTCAACGATATCATAATTCAATTATTATTCCCTCGGAATTAAAATATAATTTAAGTTAAATTTCAAAGTATATTCAAACAAAGTAAAAAATATACCTTCATAAAAATACTCATAATTAAAAATATTAAACGTACAAAACTAAAATTCCCAGAAATCAAAATCTTAATAAAATATTATAGAATAACAAATCAACAGTTCATACATTTTTCAATTAGATTTGAAATTTCGAACGAGGAAAGGAATATATGTATTTTGAAAGTTTTAAAATTAAAATATTATAGTAAAAATACAATCTATCCCCCGTAAAAAATTGAACTATACAAGACTTTATTAGTAAAGCAATTAAGAATTAGCAATTAAGTTTGAAGATTTAAGGTACCGAATCAGTTTAAATATAATTCATACAAAATTTAACAAAAAAAAATGAATATCTATAATTGTTATTGTTTATATTCCGGGTGAAACAAGGAATATATTGATTTTATCATGATTTGTATATTTTGGCTGTGGACACGATTAAGTGACTTTTTTGAACACAACGGTAGATTGATTTCAAATTTAAAAGATCAATGCAGCAATACCATTCCCTAACTCTATAACTTGTATCTCGCTCATGGAGTCTTACATGACCTAAATTGTACATACATTCTTATTATATTCGTGTATTTAAAATTAAATAAATATTATATTTCAGAATTTAATAAACTTTTCGTAAGAACTATGTTCTAAGATTTAAACCTATACAAATTTCACTACAAATCATTTAACTAAAATTGAATATAATATAATACAATATAATTATAGTAAACAATAATATTACAATAGTATTACAATATAAAACAGTATAATTATGTTTTTTATAATAAAATTTTAAGTATAAACATTTAATATTTTATGAATTTTCAAGTACAGAAATGAAGTGAATTTTCTTGATTTTTAACGTTTTGTCAAAATTTCATATTTAAACGCTCATAAAATTGTTTTTGAAAATAATTTCAATTTTTTTTTTTTCATTAAGTAGTGATAAATATATTTTAAAAAATGTTTGTTAAATTCTCAAGATAATTTTTTAAACCAAAACGATTTACGATTATTATTTTTCGAGTTACGAAGAAAAATAATATACGTACTTATATTTTATTTTGTCAAATATACCGTACATAAATGTTGCCTTTTTTATAACTTATGGTCAGTATTTCTCAATTATTAAAAACTGTTGAGAAATTATGTAATCAACCTCTTCAACATACCAACTAGACAACATTTTCTATATAAAATCTTTAATAATTGTGATTATCATTTTGGTTGAAATTGTGTACACAAACACAAAATAAAACACATCATATTTAAGCCAATACATTCCAAATTTCACTCAGAATTTAAAATACAACGGTGTAGTAATGGAGAATAGCAGTTACATGATTTAATAATAATGTACTATGTATTATTATTATAACAGGTACATTACATTATTAATAATAACAGCTAACAGAAATCGTGTGAAATAAATAATGATTTTTTCAAATATAATTAAATATAATTTTTGATATAATTTCTTAACAGAAAACAATATAACGTACTAAATTATAAATTAATCAGTTATTAATATAATATTTTATATTATAACTACTGTGATAAGTAGGTGGACTGTACTTGGATTCTAAATTGTTTTCTTGTTTTCAGATGGTGGAGGTGTAGATGAAGGTGATGACAATATTTATGGCGAATTATTATACTTCTCTTCCACATCACTCATTATCTCTAACAACATCGCTACAGCAGCCTGACCTTCTTCTGCCTTACGTATTTCATCAGCCGTTAAACTGATAGGTTCAACTTTAATTTGCCTCTGTTGTACTATTTCTTCTTCCGTCTTAACAATATCAGTAATAATTAATTTTGGTTCTAATTTTATGGCATCTAAATTGGTTTTAATTGATTCTTCTTGAATCAAATCAAGTATAGGTGTTGAAGGTGGTGGTGATGGTAATGATGGTGATATTGGTGGTGGTGGTGGTGGTGGTATTGATGGTGGTGGTGATGTTGATATAGGTGGAGATGGCTCATGATATACCTCTTTTTTAATCAATGGAATACTAATTGGTTCTGATTCAACTGGTTCTTGTTTTACTGTAATATTATCAAATCCATCCAACTGCACAGGAAGTTTTACATCTAATTGTGAAGATGAAGATGAAGATGATTGTGCTGATTGTTTAATAACCTTTGTTCGTTTCACTCGAGACCGATCGCTAGTTGCTGACCTCTTTTTCTCATTTCCCAATGAAACAGCTGGTTTTATCTGTTCTTTCATTAGGTCAAGTCTTATTTGTTCTTTTTCCTTAAAAAAAAAAAAAAAAAAAGTAAAACTATTATACCTGTCATAAATATTAAATTGTTTTAAAAAATATACTTGTTCAATTTTCTTCTGTTTTCTCTTATGAGATAACAACATTTCTCTATACATATCTTCAGTTGGATCAAAAGGATTACTCATAGGCAAAGCAATTTTAGACAAATCTATTCCTTCAAGAAATGTTGCTAAAGTAGAAGTGATAGTTTCTACTTCCGGTGAAAGAGAATTTTGTAAAACAGCTAAATTACGCCGTTGTTTTTTACTCAGACGAGCAGGTGGTCCTTCTAAATAAAAGAAAAAATATAACATTTAATAAAAAATACAAAATTTTAAAACCAAACATCTAAAAACATACAAACCTTGATAATTGCTATCTGAACTATTATCAGAATCATCTCCTACTCGATGTTTAATATCAGAAAGCTCACGAAAATATCTTCTTCTTACTTGCTGATGCATAGTATAACTATTACTACCCCCAGTATTTATCGTGGATGTAGTTGAAACCCCATTAAGAATATCAATAATCTTTGTACGTCCAGAGAGTAATTTTTTTAATGTATTAAAACTGTGAATACGTTGATTTTTTCTGGAACATCAATTAATAACACTTATTAAGTACATTAACAGAAATTAAAAAATATTTATTTAAATAATCCATACCTATATTCTTTTTTGAGAGTACGTCTTAACAAAGATTTCATTTTAACAATATCAGGACGATAATGTCCATTTTTTAATTTGTCATGAAAATCATCAATTGGATTAACTCCAAATCGAAAACTTTGACCACCAAAAAGCATTCTTAAAGTGATTTCTTTTTCCATTAAATCATTTTCAGGAAAAGTTGGAAGAAAATTCTACAAAAAAAAAAAAAAAAATTTTAGTATGTTTTACACTTAATTTTATTTTTTATAAGTTTTATTTGTATAAAGGTGAGTTTCTGTTACACAATTATACCTTTAAATGTTGCTTTTGTTGGTCACTTAAGCATACCCAAGAGTTGACAGAAAAAAGTTGTTTGAAAACTTCTTCATCTTCGCACATTCCAACAGGTAAACTAAGCTCAGTTTTATTAGCCACTACAGTTTCAGTTTTGAGTGATATAGTTTCGTCTTCATCAGCAGTACTAGTACTTTCAGAATCAAAGCCTGACTGACTACTACCACTACTACTGGATGCAGATGTACTCGTGCTAGATGTTGAAGTTGCAGAATCGTCGTCACTATCATCCTGTTCAATTTCAGGAGACGACAATTCTTCTTCGTCTGTATTTGAAGTTGATTCTTGCGGCCAATTTTCATAATTATTATACCCCGACATTATTGAGTCAAAATATAATTACTGAAATTAGTATAAAAAATATTAAACCAATTACTAGTTTCAAAGTTAATACTAACATAACATTTTCATAAACAATTTATATTTTTAAATAACCTAGGTAACAATCAATTTTTTTAAAAATGTTATAAATAAAATATTGGCTATAAAAAAAAAAAAAACAGTAGTTCAGAAGACACTTTGAATTTTTTTGTTTAAGTATTAAAATCTGTTTTCAATAAATCACAAACAAAATTCAAGGTCATGGATCCATAAAATAATATTTCTATATAAATTACTTTACATAATTACTTTCCATCGAACATGTTAATTGATTAAAAAACTACCAATAGTAAATTATTTAGAAAAATAATACGGATAAAAGATATAACTAAAATATTAAATAAATTGATTAATAAATAAATGATTGCTAGTTATTAATATTTACTTGGTATCTAATTTATATTATTACACTTTTACGTTCCTATCATTTTAACTACCCTCAATAAAATAGTAGTTATTCTATTCATTATTATTTATCTTAATATTTTGGTATGACCCTTAGTTTAATATATTTTTATATGTATACATTTATAAAGTGTGTCACCAATTTTCATTTAAAAATCACGCTTAATGTCTAATATAATATAAATTTGGTTAAAGTTAAATTAAATTCAGTTGATAATTAATTAAGATTAAATTATTGATTTATTAACAACCTAAAATTGTCATTTTATTAAATTAAGATACATTTTAATATTTTAATTATATAAAAAACAATATCAATATTTGATATTAGCTAATCGTTATTTGTAATATTTACCACACTAGTATATCAATATTTATTGTCTAGATGGTTAAAAATACATACCTATTATATATTTATATAATATTAAAATTGATTTTATTTCTTGATTCTATATTAATATTAGGAATCAATTAATGTATTGTCAATCTCCTAAATTATTAACAAAATCTAAATAATACTTACATATATTTTGTATAATTCAAAAAATGCTATAAATTAAAACATGTGTTTAATTAATTATTTTAAATCTAAAATATGATTTTCAACTTTCCAATCAACTGAAAGCTTGTTTAAAATGGAAAATATAATAATAAGTAATTTTATTAAGTTACAAAAAAATGAAAATTTCCGGGACTGACGTTCATTGATAATCAGATTGAGCATCAGTTTTTCTAATAAATTTTATTTCTACTTATTTTTTTTTTTTTTTTTTTTAAGGTGGGGTTTTATTAGGGGGTGGGTGATCAAAAAAAATAAAAGCCACACCGGAAACAGGAATCTGCGCACACCTATGTAGTTGATCTTTGTTGGACAAGTGTTTCCAGGTCTATATTTTCAGCGATCATAATAAAGTTAGTGTAGAAAAATTAAAAATTATAATAATATAATAATTATATATGTTACGTACGACCGTTTTGCAAGGACTACGGTATCCTACTAGTTATGAATGATAAAAATTATTTTATCATGACTGACGGAATAGAGTATGTTCTATTTTGATAAAATACTAGTGACTAGAATTTTAATTAGTTTAATATTAGTCTAGTGACTAGAATTAACTAAAGAGCAAAAATGTTTTGTTTTGACTATGACGTCAGTGTGCGAGTTTTCACTGAATTACATGAGTTCTATTTTTGATTAGTCATAATAAAGCTGTCAAGTCTGCTTTAAGCAGTTTTGCTCTTTTGGTGTGCGGCCGGCCTTTTAAATCAGAATTGTTTCGGGAGTCAGATAACCATTTTCATATTTTTTTTTTCATTTTTAACTTTTAATTTTTATTGGTATAAATATAATAATTTTGTAACTTACTTAAAATAATTTAAACATTTTTAATAAATTAAATCAACTTTACATAATAACTCTCATTTAATAATCAAATAATAATAATATAATTCAATTTTTTTTTTGTTTCTTTTCAGAACTGGATTTTTTTTTCATTTACCTAAATCAAAATTCCTCCGGGAGCCGGGGATCCCCTTTTCATTTTTAATGATATAAATATGATAATTTTATAACTTACTTAAAATAGTTTAAAAATTTTAAATAAATTAAATCAACTGTATATAATTACTCTCATTAGTTGCTGTGCGTCCGCCGTCGCATACGCACGTTTGTCACGTTGCGCTCGCTTTTTTTTATCAGATAATCATGATCATATATTAGGACGATGCCGGGTCCGTCCGTCATGTCTCGAGCATCTACATCGAAATCGACAAAATAGAATCTGTCGTCCTCCTCTTCGCCTAATACTAACACAAAAGTAAAGATTAACAAGACATTTGTGTCGCCAAATCGATTCTCCGTTCTCACGACGTATGAAAACCTCCCGAGGTTTTTAGCATAGGCGTAAGTTCTCCATAATTTTAGAGGGGGCTGATATTTAAAAATACTTTATTGCATATCAAAGCCGAAAAATTAAATCTATAATATTACCAAAAACATCATGCAAAACCTAAGCGTGATTTATTTTAGATAGATACGAATATACTATACTATGCATATACTGATATACTCTTACATATACTTGAATTTTAACAATCAAAACTCTTTATAATGCAACTAAAAAATATTTATTTTAAAATAATGTATCTATTTATTTTTGCAAATAAATCTAGTATGGCTTCTTGATCAATTTTTTTACAAATATAATTTTCAATACTAATTATAGCTAAATTGTTAAATCTATTTTGTAATATGGATGACCTCAGCAATATTTTAATCTTTCTCATTGCAGAAAAACTACGTTCACACATTGACGAACTTATAGGAAGAGTAAGTACAACTTGCATAAGCTTATACGTGTTAGGGTATATATTTGTGGAAAGTACTGAAGTCAAAGTTTCAGACATACCCAATGACTTAATTTTAATATGTTGTGCTCATTTAGTCATGCAAGTCAAATGTTGTTTACAAGTTGAATGTGCTTCAAGTTTACTTTGCTTATTGCCTTTTTTCCCTCTTGATCCAATTAACTAAATAGTCAATTGAGTACATTATATAATATTTTGAAAATGTCAAATTATAATATAAAAAGTATAGGTACCAACTACCATTGACTAGAAATATAGCATTTATAATCAATGCTACTACCTATCATTAAGTTCGTTCAAGGGCGTATTTGAGGGGGACAAAGGGGGCATTCGCCCCCCATGAGTTGTATTTTTTTTGAATATAATACATTTATTTATTTAAAAATTGTAATGTATAAATAATTAGGAATATAAATTACTAGTCTATCTTTATAATACGATAGACTAGTAATTTATAATAATCATTTATATTTAAAATATTTATAATATTTATCTTTATAATATGATAATAAATTCAACAATATGTCAATATGGTCATGAGTATCAATTTTTGTTTATCTTCTTATATCATAACATTTTTGGTTGTGGAACGAATAGTGGTATTATCTTCCATGGATATTTCTACGGTTATAGACATTTACAACCATAACCGGGGTATTTAACAGATGATATAAAGTAATAAAAGTAATACTTTTTTACCACAGATTTACTAGTAAGTCAATTTTTTGGTGTATTTATGCATATTGTATATTTTTGTATTTATTAGAGCTATATAAGTCCTTAATAATTTTACTCGACTATTTTTTTTTTACAACATAATATTTGGAACTTTTTGTTGTGCATAGATATTTAGTCATTTTTTTGTACACAAATTCATGCATGCATATTTTTGTATTTTATAGAGCTAGAAGCCCCTAACTCAAATAATAATCATAATAACTGACAATATTCTTTATTCCATATTCTTTAACTTGCAAATATTGGCCAAAAATATATATTTGTAAATTGAAAATATGGCTAAGATCAAGAATAGGTCAGCATAGACTAACAGGTTTGGCTTTGCTTCATGTGCATAAAAATATTATTGTATCCATTGATGAAACAATCAACAAATTGCCAAAATGAAAAAAAGGAAATTTGGAATTTGTTATTTGACTACTTACCAATCTTTTGTGTTTTCTACTTAGATATATATTACGTTAAGTTACCTGTCTTATTTTTTTTTTAATGTTTAAAAAATAATAGGTATTATTACTATTATGATCAGTGGCGTAACTGGAAAAAAAACCTAGGGGGAGCAATATAATATATTTATTATTACCAAAACCCTGACATCCCTCCCCCTCACCAGTTGAAACATATTTTTATTGTATGTATTTTATACACCATATATAATTGTTTGATTTTACATAAGTCTTTTAACTCATTTTATGGTTTAGTTAAACATAAATTGTAGGTAGCATGTACTAGGTACCAATATTGTTAAATAATATCCATAAGAGTTAATTAATAAAAGGTGTATTTGTACTGTTGGATTATCTGGGGGGCAAAATTATACCTTTATCTCTCAAAAGATTGTCAGAGGGGGAACTTCCCTCCTTTCCTCCCACAATTATGCCACTGACTATGATTATTTGTTGTTGTTTTTATACAGGATTTAGACTAACTATTTGTGTTGTTTTTATCAATACTTATTTTGTATGCAGTAGGTTTTAAATATATTTATTAAATAAATATTTAATTCAATTTGGTACTTGTATTTTTATTCATTCACTCGGAAGAAAAACAGGAGCATGAGCTGTAGTTAATGAACCAGGAGCGCACCCAGGAATTTCTCAGGAGGGAGGGGTCCAATATTTTTATTTTATCTGTTCTCTAATTATAATTATAGTCAGTGCTCAAATTGGGAAAAATTAAGTAGAGGAACTCAGTCCAACGATTTGAAAACTGCGTTCTACGTGCACAATTATTTAACACATATCCGTGGGGGGCTTCGTCCCCACCCTCCGCCAACCTTACATATACTTTGAATACCAATTTTCAGCTAAACAAATATTTAAATTCCAAATATAATATATTTTAATAGCAATACCAACATCTTACATGTTACAATAGAAAATAAAAATAAAATAATAATTAACATAATTGTAGACGATCAGGCAGTCTCATGAATCGAATGGTATAATCATATATTTGGTTTTTGTTTTTATTTATTTTTACTTTATGGTGCGGTCCACGACCTTAGAAGATTAGTCTATGGTCGTTGTGCAGGCATTTATTTTTTTCCGAAATGACGATATCGCCGATCGCCAATATTAATAACAAACCGTACAATGTATAAAGTATAATACACCAAATCCACAGACATTGCTATTTATATTTTTCCAAAAATGACGGCGTTGTCCTTATCATAAACACCATATAATCTTTAATTATAAAAATAGTTTTGGTAGTATAAATCGTAAAATTTGTTTTCAAATTGACGTAAATTGAAATTCACATAAAAATTATTTTGGACATCAATTAGTATAAACGTTTCCCCGTTCCGGTGAAAAAATATAGTTGGGGTACGCAAAAAAAAAAAAATAGTAAAGGAGCTCCGTCCCCCTGCGCATCCCCCCATCAATTCGAGCACTGATTATAGTTTAATTCAATACCATAAAATCACTATTAATAACTGTAGTAATAGTCACAATAGTCTTATATATCACACATATTCTTCACAAAGGCTTACTATAATAGGTAGGTACTATAATTAAAATCAATTTTTATTTGGTAATAAAATTATATAAAAAAATACATTATAATAATAATAATTATTAACAATAATAAATAATATTAAAAAGCAGTATAAATTAAACATGGTTTATACATTAAAGGTAGGTATATTATATAATCTATAAACTTTGTATATTGAAGATAATGGGAAATTTAAATACACTATGCACTATTTACTATTAAACCATTGAGTATGTAGAAATTCAATGGGAGTTTGGGACCGAAAACCCCCTTGGGTACGCCCCTGTAATGAACTGTAAATTATTTTTAAATTTGTATTAAAGAAAAATTAGTTTCGCCCCCCCCCCATCTCAAATACGCCCTTGAGTTTGTTAAACATACTTTTTTCCAATTTTTAAACCTAGTTAATGTAAACACATCTTGTACACTTTTTCTGGTAGAATAAAAACAAAAAATAGCATCATCCACAATACTATATTCAATCCATAAATATTTTGAATATTATTTATCGTTAAAACTTCAGTTTTGAGAACCAAAATTAGTTTTTGTATAAGTCTATAGCACAGTTATAAAATAAAAAATATTGTATTAACTTCAAGTAGTCTTATATTATTTTAATTCAATAATTTAACACCCAGGCCCGTATTTAGGGAAGAGGGCCCAGGTAGGCACATGCCCGGGGGGGTGTCAAGTCACAGGGGCGACAAAATATTTTAGCAAAATTAATTTTAAAAATGATGTACCAAATGAAAAAAAAAAAGAAAACAATAAAAAAAAGAAAATAGTATGTTTTATAATGTAATTTTTAAATTAAAAAAATTGTATTTTTACTATATTAAAATTGTTAATTAAAAAAAAAATGGAAATTGTATGTTTTATTATGTTATAATTTGTTTAATTCGTTAATTAAAAAAAAGTATTAAACGATTTTCATTTATAAGTTATATTTTAATATTAAAGAATCTCGATTATGGACCAAATAATAAGTGTTATATTATTATTATTTATTTGGAGGAGGCATAAATTATATGCCCGGGGGCGCCAAATTTTTAAATATGGACCTGTCTATAATATATATATATATAAATATATATAATAATAATTATAGTACCTATTGGAGAGTAAGAATTTGTTAAAACGTAATGTGATTGGTTACTCTGTTAAGTTTGTAATATAAAATAATAGAAGTATAAAAATATGTTTCTGTATCATAGGATAAAATGTATATAAAATTTATTTATTTAATTATAAACAAAATAATAGAAAAGCTTTTCAATATTTAAAACGCCATTTACCAATAATAAAATTGCCTTTAAACCGTTAATAAGTAATTGGTCTAAACCAATTTTTTAGTGATTATTTGGCTATATCTACTTTGATTTAAAATTAGTATTATAAGTATTATTAAATATTAAATTTGACATATCAAAAATTCCAACAATCATTTAATACAAAACATTATTAGAATGTGCATAAATCTAATTATGTATTTAAATTTAAAATTGATTTATTTAATTTCCTAGATGTTATATTATTCATAAAGAATTTATTGTTGTTGGTTTATTTCTATCATATTATTTAAAAGTTTTAAGATATTTTTCGTAAGTTGAACTATCATAATTTTCATATTTTTAAACACTTAAAGTGTGAAATGAAAAATTTTCGTCGAGGAACAACCGGTGACCCAGTAAGCTGATCGAGACTCCGTTCCAAATTGTATGTTCCTTGGTGCGCACTAATAATGTTATTGGTCCAAGTTCGACCCAAGCCATGTACACAGTTACTTGACTGTAGTTGTGTTACAAGCTTGGCTCCGAGTTTTGGTCGACCGCCGCCATCTTAATTTTTCCACTTTAAACATCTGTTCCTTAATAGTTGAAACTTTTAACTCTTAACCCTCCTACCCGGCATTTCGTCGTGTTGCCGTTGACATTTTATAATTTATCCGTCTACACGAATAAATTCAATTCAATTCTATTCGCTTTCTTTTTTTTTAAAAAAAAAAAAAACAATCGAAGATCGTCCCAAAATGAATAACAAAGAACAGCATACTACTCCGTTAAACATAAATGATGAATCTGGTAAAACTAGTGATTCGCTTGCGTTGAACAACACTAATTTACATGATTCTGAAGTAAGTAAACATTTTCATTTCTAATCCCTACTTTTGATGTTTAAAGGTTAAATTATACCCTTTATTCTCTATTCAGTTACCAAATTGTTTTTTTTTTTTTTTATGTAGAACTTTGACATTAATCATTCGGTTTTGAAACACAATGACTCAATTCAAGGTACTAGTGATCCTGTGAAGTATTTAGATTTACAACGTATGTTTAATGAACAAAAAAATACTATGATGGTCTTAAAATTATCAGCATATGAAAAAGCTTTAAATGAAAGAGATCATACTATTAAATCCATGCATACGGAGATGATGAACAATCAAAATGATTCCTATGTTATTTCTCGCCAATACCAAAGTATTATGGAAAAGTAATAAAATAAGTATATACTTTCAATATATTAAACAATGTTTACATAAAAAAACTATTTTTCCCTGTATGTTATGTTAAAGACTTATGGTCACAACAATTTGATTTATTATGTAAAAATAGATTTTTGTGTAAATTATAATTATTTCAATATTTTAACTTATGATGTATACATATAAAATGAATGTCATATGTTTTAAAATATTATTACTATTAATTTGTTAAATTAACAATTATACTAAAGTTAGTAAAAAATTGTCAGTTGAACTTTCCTTAAGATTATAAACATTTTGACAATGAATTTTTATTTTAGAACAAATTATATCAGTGATACATGCATAAGTTTAAATACAAAGTTTACAAATATTTGTGAACGTTTAAATAGACTTGGAGATATTGTTGATAATGCAAAAGTTAGACAAAATGATGTGATGATTTTGGTAAATCAAACTACTAATACATTTCAACAGAAAGTTCTTAATATATCAGACAGCATTGATGATTCATTAAAACAAAGTAGGCAACAACTGTAGTATTAAAAATATAAAATATGTAATTCTGTATTTTTGTTTAATACAATATGTATATATTTTTAACTATATGCACAAAATTTTCCAAACGAATAATATATACTATTTTTTTATTTTATAAAAGTAGTATCTGGTATGTTTGTAAAATTTATACAATGTTGATAATTTCTTGAAATGTAGATATCTTAATTTAAGTTTTAGTAATTAAGTGTGTATAAACCCTTCAATTAATTATCTTTTTCATTGAATTTTAAAAAATCTTGACATCAAACTCCATTATGTGTTAATATAATGCCAAATATGGATAAATACTCAGTGACAAATGGCTAGTACAACATTGAATTGTGACATATAGGTTTCTAACTACTTCTGGTGTCTTATTCTAATTAAATATTACAATATGTGTCAATAAAAGTGGCTATAATAGAAAATATAAATACAAAAACTTAAAATACAATAATTAATCATACTTAAAATAATAATGATCATTTTCATATTATACCTTTATAATATTAGTATGTTGTAATTAAATAATATATAAACATATTAACTATTTTGTTTATACTTAATTATATTCTTGTTTTATATTATATTAAGTGAATATAGAAAAAATAAGAATAAAACAAGAACTAGAAGTCTTGAATAATAACTATTCTCGTGATATAAGTGTTTATAAAACCGATTTAGAAAAATGTATGACAGAAATGGAACACTTAAAATCAAAGGTTATTTAAAATAAATTTTTTAATGTTCTTATATAATTATTATTTAACTAAAATTATTTATTTATTTTTATTAGAATAATGCTTTATTAGATAAATGTAATGAATCCATAATCAAATTAAACGAAGAAAAAGAAACTGCATTAAAACTAAAGTAAAACTTAGATAGTTTAAACATTTAAATACGCAAATATTATTTTTTTTATTTTCAGTCAACAGTTTGAAAAAGAACTAAATGATAAAGAAAAACAAAATAAATTGCTTACTGATGATAATATGTCTATAAGTATAAAACTTGATGAAATACTAAATGAAAATCAAACTTTAAAGAATGAAATTGATTTAATGAAAACTTCTCTGTAATAATTAAATAACTTACTATAGGCGATAACTGCTTTTATTTATTAGTATTGTATTGATATATAATTATAAATTTTAGGGATGAAAATAAGCAACAGTTAAGTATGCAATCAATTTTAGTTAAAGAACAAACTGAATTATTAGAAAACCTAAAAGTATCCGTTGAATTAAATGATGTACTCAAAAAAGATAATTTAGTCTTAAAAGAACGTAATGAACATCTTGAAAAAATTAACCATGATATAATGGAAGATATTAATAAAAATGAATTATTCCAAAATAAAATTCAAGAAGAAAAAGAAAAACAATTTAAAGAAATGTGTAACAATTACGATGAAGTTAGTATGTTTAAAAAATGTTTGAAGTAAAATTAACTTTCTTCTAAAATAGGAAAATTTGATATTTGTACTTATTCAAATATTTTTAAAAACTTAAGATTTTATAATTTAAAATGACTATTTTTATAAACTATGTACTATATAACTTTAACAATTATTTTTTTTTTTTAATTAATCAACATCAGAGGAGGCTGTGTATGTAAAAATACTACTCCTCTGCTGCCATAATTTATTGATGCATTGCATACAAATTGGGTTAAAATAGTGTAATGCATACAATTTACAAAATACAAAACACAGTGGGTGATTGCAGGTTATATATTTTGCTTATTATTTATGAGCTAAATAATTTATACAGTTTTAAAGATATTGCTGAAGTTCATACACATAAATTTAAAATTTTTATCATTAGTTATTGAATATGCAAGGAGAAAAGATAATAGACTTGACTGAAACATTAAAATTACAAAAAGAAAAAGAAAACCAATTTCAAAATCAAATAATTGAATTAGAACAAGAAGTTAATGAGTCTAATAACACCATTATCAATTTACAAGACGATTTAAAATCTAAACTTTTATTGTTACCTGATTTACAACATGAAATTGAGGTAAATATATATCTTTTTTTTTTTTAAATAAATTTAGTATAATTTATAAATGACTTTTTCATATTATAACATGAATTCCAAATTCCCATGAATGATAGTAAATGTTTTTTCAGGATTTAAAAACTAAGTTAGCAAAATCTCAAGAGAACTCAAATATCACTGCAAAAAAATTTTTATTAGAAAAAAATGAATTAGAAAAAGATAAAAAAGAATTAGAAAATCGAAACAAGGATTATTGTAAGCAAATTGAAAAATTGAATTCAAATTACGTAAGTATTAAAATAATATTAATACAAGATTTTCTTAATTCCGAGTTAAACCCAATTTAATTATTTATAAAATTTGTATTTATTTTATATTTAAATAGTATAATTAAATTTTTTTTTTTTTTTGAATCCTTAAAATTTCACTATTATAAAAATGATAATGCAAAAAAAAAATTAGTGAAAAATATTATTTTTATTTTTCTATTTTTAAAAGCATATAATTGTTCATACTTTGAAAATTTATCATTGAGCATTGAACAATTAAAACTTGCACATATTACAATAGTTGATTAAGCATCATTCCATGGAAAAGTGGTATTTAACAATATAATTTACCAGTTTGTAAAATTTAGCCAGTTTAACATTTATTTACAATTGGGCCAATTTATAAAATCTTAAACTTCCATTAAATTATTATTGTAAGAACATTAAAATTGATGATTCAAAATTTGGTAAAAAAAAAAATGTATTGCTGTCATTAGGTGATCAATGGGTTTTTTGCGGTGTAGAAAAGGTTTCTGTTAAATTGTTTTTAATCCTAGTAGAAAAACAAGCTAAAGAAACTTTTAAATATTATTAATCATTGGATTTTGCCAGAAACTATGATTTTTGGAATGTAACTTTTTTAATATTTTCTTACCACATAATAATAGTTATAACAATTATTATTTGAGTAACAAAAAAAATGTACATTTTAAGAATAAAAATATAATAACGCTTTTAAATTATTATAATATAATTTATGTATTATATATAAAGTATTTTATTTTACAATATAGATAGGATATAAATCAAAATCCAAACTGTTGTATAATGAAGTTATGAGATTACGTTCTCAATGTTCAAGATCAGACCAGAAAAAAACTCCTCGAGTCACTTTACCTTTAGAAAATATTGAGGATGTAAGTTCATTGTATAGTGAAGTAATTTTTTTTAGATTTTTTTTATTTATTTTTAAATTTATCTTTTCATCATTTTGAGTTCAACGTATCAGGGAACCTGAAGTAGTGACTAATAATCAATGATAATTTAATTGAGATTAACAATGCATCACTTTGAACTTTGTTTATGATTATTCATGTAATTTAACATAATTTTTTTTTAACACATACAGGATGATGTAATTATAATTGACAAAGATATACCCAACCAGGATGTTAGTATTTGGTCTACTTCAAAAAAAATTAGCCTAAAGTCTAACAGTTCAAATTCCAAAAGAAATTCTTCACCTCTAAAATATATTGACAATTCTAAAATAAAGAAACAAAAAATAACAGCTGATATTATACCTCAACAAGTGAGTTCTGTACAAATTTTTTTTCATTTAAAAATCATGCTTAATGTCTAATATAGTATAAATTTGGTTAAAGTTAAATTAAATTCAATTGATAATTAATTAAGATTAAATTATTGATTTATTAACAACCTAAAATTGTCATTTTATTAAATTAAGATACATTTTAATATTTTAATTATATTAAAAACAATATCAATATTTGATATTAGCTTATCGTTATTTGTAATATTTACCACATTAGTATATCAATATTTATTGTCTAGATGGTTAAATACATACCTATTATATATTTATTTAATATTAAAATTGATTTTAATTCTTGATTCTATATTAATATTAGGAATTAAATAAAGTATTGTCAATCTCCTGAATTATTAACAAAATCTAAATAATACTTATATATATTTTGTATAATTCAAAAAATGCTATAAATTAAAATATGTGTTTAATTAATTATTTTTAATCTAAAATATGATTTTCAACTTTTCAATCAATTGAGAGCTTGTTTAAAATGGAAAATATATTTTTTAAAAAATAATTAATAAATAAATTTGTATGTTATATATATTTAATTACCCTGTAAAACTAACCAGTATTAATTTGTTTTCAAATAGTTTTTAAAGTAATGTTTTGATTAACAGGAAATTTTTAAATATAACAAACATTTAAAAGAAAATCAAGAATGTAAAAATATAAATTCAATTAACTCTGTCTCAAATACTGGTTCAAATCTAACTAAGAAAAACGAATTTAAAAAACTTTCAGTTAAGCATCAAGTAACTTTTTAATTTAGAAATATATGAATAAATATTATCAGTATGAATTTTTTCAGGGAAAATTAAAACCGATTAATGAACAAAATATTGAGTACTCTAAGCCAAATTCACCAGTAATCCTAACTCCTGCTCCTTCTAACATAATGTATATGGAAAATGTATTTCGATCAAATTGTTAGATTTGATGTAATATATTACTTAAAGTAATATTAATGTTTTTATATTGTTTAAAATATAGTTAAATGTAATTTTTTAAAATGTTAAAGTATAATTTAAAAGTTAAAATTATTTTTATTATAAAACTCTAGCATTTTAATTTAATAGTATTTAAAAATTTAATTATAATTTGTGAATTACTATAAATACTTTTGTTGGTTATATTTTATTTTAAAAGATATTTTTATTAATATAAATGAAACTATCATATTAATGACATGTGTCCAGATTGTCCGATTGTTATTTTTCTTTTCTGAAAATTTAATTTTTACTTAATAAAATTTTAGAATAGGTTTTATTATTTATTTTAATATTATTAAGCTTATTCTTATTCATTTTTTATTATAAGGCTTATTCTTGGGGTATTAATTAGTTTCACATGTTCAGATATAAATCTAAGAGTTACCTTGCTCTTTATGAGGACATGAGTCGATGTTACTTATCGTATGACTGTTTTCAAACTTCAGCAACTGTGCTGACTGTGCATTGAAATCAGTTTCACTACCACTGCAACCCAGTGGCATCATTTAAAGGGGACGCAACTCATACTTTTGCTACAATCTAAAATTTAGCTATTCCAAAGTCAGCACATTTTCAAAATATTAATACGTCATATAAAACCATTGACAATATTGTTCATCATAAAAATAAGACTTGTACTTAGGTACAAAATACAAATAATTATATTTTTGGACAAATTTAAATTAATTTAAGAAATCGCGAATGTGTTGAAAACAAACTAATTGCTAAAATATATTTACCAACAGTGGTATATGCAGGACGAGGGCAAACGGACTGAAATCCCCCCTATTTCCCGTATTATTTTTTTTCCATGGTCATGAGTAAATAATTTGGTGTATTTATGTAAATATTAAATACATTACCATAAGATCGTAATAATTTTATTTCCCATCGTTAGTACTAAGTAGCCATAGACATTAATTTAAATTCTACATGCATAGCTGTTGTTAGAATATGTAAGGTCCTAGGACCTCTTATATACCCAGAACCTTTAAATTCCTAAACTATGTTACACGTATTTTTTTAACACAATTATTATTGTTAATTATTAATGAACTTACTAACTTTATTACTAATAAATTAATAATTTAAAAATAAACTGTCATATTATGAATAGAAATAAGTATTAATAGTCATATTATTCTAATTTATCTCAATTATATATAGTCCATTTTTACATTCAACATTTATAATTTATTTAAACCTTATACACCAATACACAGGCGAAAACAACAATTTTTCTTTTCATTCATAGAATTGCATTATTTTTATGAAAGCTAATTTTAATATTTTCTACTTGATATTTATTTTTTAAAAAAAAGAAAAAAAAAATGTAAAATTATATCTTGTAAATATAGTGTATTTATTGTGAATTTGGCGTCCTTCAAATCACGAGGTCCTCAGCTTTAAATTGTCACTGTCTACAAGATATTCTTTTTCCTCAACACAAACTTCTTATCAACATTTTCAATTATCATGGATAATTGTTTTTAAATAATTTAGAACACGATTGTTATTTCCCATGTTTTCTCACCACAAAAACTTTATATTTCAATTTAGTTGTTCAATGGTCACTTTAGATTTGAGTATAGGAGTTTAATATGGGTATGGATTTGATAAAAAAAATGTTATTTAAACACCGAATATGAAAGATTTCAGAATCAGTTACTGAAATAATTGTAAAACAAAAAACGCTTTAATTTAAAAATATTAACATTTTTAGTTTAGTAAAATTTAACGTTGGTACATTACTACTAGTGTTCACCTATAATTATAACTTAATATACATTTATTTAAATCTAGATTGTTATAAAAATAAAACATAATATAGTAAATTAAAAATTTTTTTTCTTAAAATTATTGTATACAAATGGTACACCCACATTCGCAACATAAACTGTTGTTTTTTTCAATGCAATTCTTGTAGTAGACATAAATGTATATATTTCAGTCTTAGATCATATACACTGGATAGAGCAATGGAATAAAATTGTTATGAGTTTCTCCCCGTACCACACTATTTATAACGTATGGCTCATAACAATCAATTGCTAAGCTTCACGCATTTACTACGCGAGATAAATGCTGTAACTATATCCAGTGTGAAAATGATCCAAGATTTTCGTATTTTACATTTACATATAGTTCAAATACCAAATCACATAAGTATTTTAACAACAATGAATACTTTAAACAAAGTTTATTGAAGCAAATAAATATAAAACAAAAAAAAAAAAAAGTAGGTAACGGATCAGACTACATATACAAAGTAGACTTATAAGTCATTAATAAACCTATGATTTTTCAAAGTCATTACATAGTTCATAGATAATGACTATAACATGTATAAATAAAAAAATAATTATAATAATTAAGGAACTGGTATCCCACAGAGGTTTAATTATTTGATTCACTCGGTCCTTGGCTAGTGTCTTGATTAGACTGTTGATGAATGAACATCGGCCTTACAATGTCAGGATTCACTAAACGAGCATACATCTGTGATCGTCCTGTAATAAAATAATTGTTTAGTTTTCAGTAAAATTTGAGCCAGGAGAAAATAATAATAAATGCAAAATTATTAACCTTTAACATGGTGATGTGACAGTGGTATAACTTTTAGACCTTGAATAGATTTCAAAGAATTAGCAGGAACGAGTATTTGTTGAGAACCTTGCTGCACCACAGTGTAAGTGTTAGGTGTAGAATTCACTCCTGCTGCAGATACTATGGTCGATGAAGTTGGTATACCTGTGAGAGATGATGACATTTGTGCCTGGAAAAATAATAATTTTTTTTTTACTTAAAATTTTCATATTAAAAGTAATTAATCAATTTTTCATTTACTTTATTTTTTACCAAAACAGGTTTCCCACTGATTTGTGACTGAACCACTCGCAAAGTTTGTGATTGATTGGTATCACCAGACTTCAAACGATCATTTATAGATGACAATCGAGTGAGCGTTTGCTATGATAACATAAACCCAAATATATATTTAATAATATGCACCTTATACTTATATCACAAGCGATCAATTTTAAAATAATATTTTAGTAATTACCTGTCCAATAGTTAATTGATTTGATGGCATAAGTTTTGGTTGAGCAACGGTCACTACTGTATAATGTGGTTGACCGCTCTTTGATGTTTGTACACCAGAAATTCGTAACGATGCACCTAAAAAATGAATGAGGTTATAGTGAAAAATTTAAATAAATTTAAAATCACTTACCTTGAACACTAGATAATTTTCGATTTCCAATAACGGAATCAACAGGTAATTGTGCTCTTGGACTAGATACAATCTTACCAACAATAGGTTTAGTGAGTCTATGTTGTACACTTTGACCAGATTGTTTTGTTTGCAACATCACATTAGTAGTCTTAGCTGGATTTTGATGGATCTTAGCACCGCGAATTGATGTTAAAATCGGCTAGAAAATAATTGATAATTAGTAGTTTATATAAATTCATATAATTTAAATGACAAACTAAAACTGCAAAAATATTTTGTTCAAAAAACCATATTTCCAATACTTCCGTTTTACTAAAGGGTAAATTCAAATATTTGTAACCCCATTTATTCTTACTGACAGTAAAACAATTGAAGCACATTAAAGGTTGTTAAAAAAAATAAATAAAAATATTTGGTTTTTTTATAGATTAAACAAATTAACCTAAACAAGAATTAAATAATATTAATTGAAAAGATTAATTAATACATAAAATATTTCAATCAAGCCCCTGTATGGTTAAATAAAAAATTATGATTAAAAGAAGATAATATAAAGAGTATATTAGTTTGTAAGGGATAGCAGAAGATTAAATATGGGTGATATTTTGAGACAACTGATGTGAAGGTTAGGTCAGTCCATGAGATTTTCGTAAAGCATACCGATAAGAAGCGCTAAATGAAAGGGAGATAAATAAGGTTCAACTAAATCAGATTGGGAAGAAAGTTAAAGATTTCATAGAGATTGAGTTATAAAACCAAAGGTGGAATGAGATAACTGTGACAAAACCAAAATCTTTAATAATTAGAATTTAAAAGCTATCATAATATGATAAATTTCAAATTCTAATTGTTCATAAACTATATGACACCAAAAGTGAAAATAAAATATTGGTATAAAATTATACCTTGAGAGCAATGGGTTTTTGATCACTCCCTGGTTGTTTAACCATAACAACTTGAGTCTGTTGCCCTGTCTGCTTTTGTGGCCTAATCATTAATAAGTGTTGGAATTGTTGTTGTGTTAACTGTTGTGGTTCTGATTGGACACCTGTAGGACTTTGTATTACATATTTAAATTGAGAAAGTTCCCCATTCCCTGCTTCAGTTTTATCATCTACATCAGATTTTCTGATAATGACTTGTTGTTTGTTTTGCTGCAAAGTTTGCTGCTGAATTTGTTTATGTTGCAAAAGTTTTAACTGCATCTGTTGTTTTTGCTGCTGCTGAAGTTGAAGAAACTGTTGGACAGTTTGTGTTTTCACAGTATCAGTTTGACTAATAATAGAAGAATTTTGTTCAGAGTTTGCAACCGAATGATCAGATCGCTTTTGTTTTAATAATAATATCTGACGTTGAGGTTCTTTGTTTTGAGGTGATTTGGTAATAGTAATATGATGATCTTGTTGAAAATTTGTAGGTACTAAAATACAAAAAATAAATAACAGCATATTATTTAACAACCATTGTGTTTTAAATGCTAATAAAATTTACTAGAAGATGGTCCAATTGTGACTGGTTGAGAAATTTGAACATGTTTTGTTGTTTTCTTTCTGGAACCAATTGTAATTAGATCTCCAGATGATAAAACTTGTTTCTAAAAAAAAAAAAAAAAACGTTAATGTTAACCCATCCACAAAAATATGATATGCAATACATACATTTGAAGAAATACTATTGACAACCATTTTATTATTATTAATGAGGTTTTGATTGCTGTTGTTCATAGTTTGCGTAATTTTTATCATCTGCCCAGAATTAGCAATATTTTGTGTATTCACAACTTTTAAACTGGTATTAGCCATCGAATGGCTAATGATGGTATTAGCACCTGAATGATTGGTATTAATATTACTAGAAATTGCTTGACTAGTGATATTACCAGAAATTGATTGATTATTGTTACTAGTAACTGAATGGACATTGCTACTAGCAATAGACTGTATATTGCCACTCGAAATGGAATGGATATTGCTACTTGAAATTGATTGAATATTGTTACCAACAATTGATTGTATATTGCTATTAGCCATTGGTTTAATATTGTTACCAGCAATTGATTGTATATTGCTATTAGCCATTGATTTAATATTGTTACCAGCAATTGATTGGTTTATCATGTTGTTGGTAAATGATTGACTAGTGATGTTGCCAGTAAATTGATTAGTAAATGTTTTACTAGTAATATTACAGGCAGTAATAGTTGAGCTATTACTACTTGCAGATGTTGAAATGTTATTAGATACGGGCATAGCAAACCTTTGGGAAGCTTCAGTACTATTTTGATCTATTAATGATGGATTTTCTATTTTAAGTTCAACAGCATTATCTGTAGTTTGCGTAGGTATTTTTCGATGTTTAATTACTCGAGGATTTTTTAATGACAGTTTTAAACCCTCTGTACCCGTTATGTCTTGAGTGGCATGCATGTTCACATCGGACAATACAGGCGAAGTACTTGAACTTGGCATAGAATCTGAAGTTGAACTCGTAGGTAGATCTAACATTGACAAAGATTCAGAGAGAACATTGGATGGTCGTTTTTTATTTGGTATTTGTTTAGGTTCAGGTGATTGTTTTTGGGTTTTATTTCTTCGCCAACATTTCATCTTCACTGCACCTTGTTGTTCTAAATGCAATCGTTCTGAAAAAACAAGTTTTGCCTAGTTCAAAAAAAGTGTAAAATGATGATAAAAAAAAAAATGATACTTAAGGATTAAATACCAATGTTATTTATCAAAAAAAAAAAAATCCTTAGTTTATTTTTTATTAATTTTTTTAGAAAATATATTGGTTTTAATATGGTTCCCAACCAGTGTGCCGCAAGCACTCTTTAAATGTGCCACGATAAATCTAATTGTTTTATAAGTATGTATTTATTGGCTTATTATTGATATTCGAGATGAAAACTGATGGAACTAATCGCAGATACATATAATATTATTTATTGTGAGTATGCCCGTCGCAGCCATCTCGATCGATCGATTGTATTTATATATTTCACAATAAATAACCCTCTAATAGAGTAGACTGTAAATAGTATACATAAATATATAAAATATAGTTCACATAATATATGGATTGGTGTACCGCGAACATTTTGTTGGAGATGAAGTGTACCGTATTGTTAAAAAGGTTGAAAACCATTGGTTTATACAATATTTTGATTCTCTCCCATTAAATGTAAGTTTTTCACGTGAAAGACAAACAAAAACTAAAATTCTTGAATTTACTAAGGCCTTTTCCCACTTAACCAAATAAACTCCTTGATAAAGGACTATTAATACTTTATAACTAACTAATAGATATTGTAGTATAAGGTTTAGTCAAATCCTCAAAATAAAAATACAATACATAATAAACAATCCTATCCAATAAACAAATCCTAAATAAACCCATTTTTCTTTTTATCATTATACATACTTTAACAGTAACAGTATCATTATCACATTAAATAGTTAAGTTTTTTAAATATTAAAATAATAATTAATGAAACTATCAGCATAAAAAAAAGATTTTTTTTCAGAAAAAACAAATCACACAATCCAATAAGCTATACTAAAATATTTTAAGATCTTTTGAAAAGACATCTTGGTCAAAAACAATGTAAAGAACTATTTTATTAATTACATTTTAACTAAAAACAACAATTTTTTTTTTACTTTAAATACTATAAAAATTATAAATTTTTATTTGAATTAAAGCTATAATTGAAAATCTATTTTATTTGAATTATAAGTTTAATAAAAACATATCTTGATTTTCTGAATCAGTTAATCACAATAATATTATGAAATAAACTTATTACTTTTTTTTTAATATTAACTATAATTATTAATATTATTGATATAATTATATTCATACCAAACTCTTCCAATGTTCGTCCTCTATGTAAGTATATCCAAATTTTACGTTTAGCATCATATTTAACACATGGGTCGTTTTCATAATGCAATCTATCTAAAGCACCACTGACGGCATTATGTAATTCAGTTTGATTTGCTTCCATTAAGTATTGTGAATCTTTAAGTAAAACACAGATGTCACTACGAGTTCCCATTCCATTAGGCAATCTAGCAGTCGCATCACGTACTGAAATAACACAATTTAATAATTTTTTTTTTTTTTCACAATAGTATAAATAGTCATGATATACCTAATACTAATATTGATATGAAATGCGGTCTATTTTCTATTAACAAAGAATGACCACGAGCTGCTTTATGAATATTGGAAGAATTGTAAATACCACGAACAGGACCTACAACTGACTCATATCCATGCATTCGATATATAAAAGAACGATGTGGTTTTAAAAACCTTTGTCTTTCCTAGAGATTTAAATAAAATATAATTTAAATCTTAAAAAAATGTAATACTATTTTTAACTTACTTGAGCCTGGAAAACAGCGCGTTCTTCAGAATTAGAAGGTGTTACTACCCAAGTATCTAATAATGGAGTAGGTACAGAGATCGATGAATCTGTTTCAGGCATTTCAATGGTTGAAATAAAATCAACAGTAGATGGTATTGGTACATTTTTAATACCAATCATATCTTCTTTAATATTTTTTAATTTTAAACTAATATTATTCAAATTATGTAGCCAACAATTGCATAACTCTCCGAGTCGAGTATCTGAATCTCTACCAGCACCAATCCACTGATATGTATTTAAACTAGGTTTATATTCAATATAAGGAACAAAGTCTTCCGGCTGCCACTCTGAATAAAATATTATAATATAATATATATAATATCATAGTGATGTTCATATTAATAACTAAAAAAAAAAAAACATTTTACTTACCAGGAAAATGACCAGCTAAGAAACCTATAGCTGATTGTAAAGCTTTAGGCCAAGTTTTTAATGCTAAACTATGATACCAATCTGGTTTTTTTTTATTATTTAATGTTGATTTCACCCATTCTAGGACACGTTCGGTTAATGCAGTCATATTCATACGGTATTCCCAGGTGGAACATATTATATCTCTAATAAGTGCAAAGAAACTAGCAGTTATATTTTTTGCTTCTGGTAGTGGTCTAAACAAAAATACATACATAATTAATATTATAACTAAAAAATTTGTATACAAATAAAAAGTACAGTACATTATTATGACGAATATCAATATTTTAAGTTTTTCGAAAAAAAAATCTAATTCGTAATTATTACGGTTTGGATTTTGTTGCAAATGTTTCTTTTGGGGGGAATGTGATAGAAAGATAATTCTTAAATAAAAATATGTTTTGAACATCTAATTTCACTGAAATTAGATTAATTTTTTGTTATTTTATACTATACCCCCCCCCCCCCCCCGTTTGGTTCTTTAATATAATTTTACATTATTTTCATGAAAATTTAACATATTTATATGAATATTTTACATTGATTATATTAATATTGCCATAAATGATAAAATCTGTAAAAAAAATCAGAAATCATTAGCATTCAAAATAGCATTACACCAAACATTAATGCGTACAGTATGATTTAAATGATTGAGTTTACATGAAATATACACCAATTACTACAATTGATGTGAAAAGGTCATTTTCTATGAATAAAAATATGAGTATATTAGCACCCGATAGGATGAGCTTTACTAAACCAAATTTAACCAAATGCATACATGGTCGTAAATTTATTTTTTAATATTTATTTGCGTGATTTGTGTGAAATGTGTCATTTTAATTTGTGTTTTTTTAAATTCAATTTAATAAATGCTTTATTTTGCTTTTATTGATTCTAACTAAAAATGCTTTTAAAGATTTATTTTGCTACAAAATCCGAGCCCTAGTAATTATATATTAATCCTTTAGAAATTCACTTTACGTTCATAGTTTTTCATAAAATGTAAAACTTCAAATTGTTTTCAATTTTTCAAACCTTTGTGTATTTCTCTTGAGATATTCACCATAATAAGAATCTAATTTATTAACATACTTAATGTCCATATCATCATTGCACTCAGTCTTAATATCTAAAACATGGAAACCTTCCAACTCTGATAATGATCCAACATAATTAGAATCTGTGATAACTTTGCTTGGGGTAGACACTGGTGATAATGATAACTGTTTAGAACCATAGTTATTAGGAGTGACTGGTAGCATACAAGAATGCAACATCCTAGGAGGAGACCTAAATAAAATAACAATAAATATAAATTAAATTTCATGAGTGATATTTTTTATCAAGAATATTAAAATAAAATGTAATTCATATCCTTACTCAGTACTCATAGATTGCACTGTACTAGTTAACATATCTTCTGGATGAAATTCTCTTTTAATGTGATAAGTAGCTGGACTGTACTTGGACTCTAAATTGTTTTCAGATGGTGGAGGTGTAGATGGAGGTGATGACAATATTAATGGCGAATTATTATACTTCTCTTCCACATCACTCATTTGCTCTAACAACATCGCTGCAGCAGCCTGACCTTCTTCTGCCTTACGTATTTCATCAGCCGTTAAACTGATAGGTTCAACTTTAATTTGCCTCTGTTGTACTATTTCTTCTTCCGTCTTAACAATATCAGTAATAATTAATTTTGGTTCTAATTTTATGGCATCTAAATTGGTTTTAATTGATTCTTCTTGAATCAAATCAAGTATAGGTGTTGAAGGTGGTGGTGATGGTAATGATGGTGATATTGGTGGTGGTGGTGGTGGTGGTGGTGGCGGTGGTGGTGGTGGTATTGATGGTGGTGGTGATGTTGATATAGGTGGAGATGGCTCATGAAATACCTCTTTTTTAATCAATGGAATACTAATTGGTTCTGATTCAACTGGTTCTTGTTTTACTGTAATATTATCAAATCCATCCAACTGCACAGGAAGTTTTACATCTAATTGTGAAGATGAAGATGAAGATGATTGTGCTGATTGTTTAATAACCTTTGTTCGTTTCACTCGAGACCGATCGCTAGTTGCTGACCTCTTTTTCTCATTTCCCAATGAAACAGCTGGTTTTATCTGTTCTTTCATTAGGTCAAGTCTTATTTGTTCTTTTTCCTTAAAAAAAAAAAAAAAAAAAAAGTAAAACTATTATACCTGTCATAAATATTAAATTGTTTTAAAAAATATACTTGTTCAATTTTCTTCTGTTTTCTCTTATGAGATAACAACATTTCTCTATACATATCTTCAGTTGGATCAAAAGGATTACTCATAGGCAAAGCAATTTTAGACAAATCTATTCCTTCAGGAAATGTTGCTAAAGTAGAAGTGATAGTTTCTACTTCCGGTGAAAGAGAATTTTGTAAAACAGCTAAATTACGCCGTTGTTTTTTACTCAGACGAGCAGGTGGTCCTTCTAAATAAAAGAAAAAATATAACATTTAATAAAAAATACAAAATTTTAAAACCAAACATCTAAAAACATACAAACCTTGATAATTGCTATCTGAACTATTATCAGAATCATCTCCTACTAGATGTTTAATATCAGAAAGCTCACGAAAATATCTTCTTCTTACTTGCTGATGCATAGTATAACTATTACTACCCCCAGTATTTATCGTGGATGTAGTTGAAACCCCATTAAGAATATCAATAATCTTTGTACGTCCAGAGAGTAATTTTTTTAATGTATTAAAACTGTGAATACGTTGATTTTTTCTGGAACATCAATTAATAACACTAATTAAGTACATTAACAGAAATTAAAAAATATTTATTTAAATAATCCATACCTATATTCTTTTTTGAGAGTACGTCTTAACAAAGATTTCATTTTAACAATATCAGGACGATAATGTCCATTTTTTAATTTGTCATGAAAATCATCAATTGGATTAACTCCAAATCGAAAACTTTGACCACCAAAAAGCATTCTTAAAGTGATTTCTTTTTCCATTAAATCATTTTCAGGAAAAGTTGGAAGAAAATTCTACAAAAAAAAAAAAAAATTTTAGTATGTTTTACACTTAATTTTATTTTTTATAAGTTTTATTCGTATAAAGGTGAGTTTCTGTTACACAATTATACCTTTAAATGTTGCTTTTGTTGGTCACTTAAGCATACCCAAGAGTTGACAGAAAAAAGTTGTTTGAAAACTTCTTCATCTTCGCACATTCCAACAGGTAAACTAAGCTCAGTTTTATTAGCCACTACAGTTTCAGTTTTGAGTGATATAGTTTCGTCTTCATCAGCAGTACTAGTACTTTCAGAATCAGAGCCTGACTGACTACTACCACTACTACTGGATGCAGATGTACTCGTGCTAGATGTTGAAGTTGCAGAATCGTCGTCACTATCATCCTGTTCAATTTCAGGAGACGACAATTCTTCTTCGTCTGTATTTGAAGTTGATTCTTGCGGCCAATTTTCATAATTATTATACCCCGACATTATTGAGTCAAAATATAATTACTGAAATTAGTATAAAAAATATTAAACCAATTACTAGTTTCAAAGTTAATACTAACATAACATTTTCATAAACAATTTATATTTTTAAATAACCTAGGTAACAATCAATTTTTTTAAAAATGTTATAAATAAAATATTGGCTATAAAAAAAAAAAAAAACAGTAGTTCAGAAGACACTTTGAATTTTTTTGTTTAAGTATTAAAATCTGTTTTCAATAAATCACAAACAAAATTCAAGGTCATGGATCCATAAAATAATATTTCTATATAAATTACTTTACATAATTACTTTCCATCGAACATGTTAATTGATTAAAAAACTACCAATAGTAAATTATTTAGAAAAATAATGCGGATAAAAGATATAACTAAAATATTAAATAAATTGATTAATAAATAAATGATTGCTAGTTATTAATATTTACTTGGTATCTAATTTATATTATTACACTTTTACGTTCCTATCATTTTAACTACCCTCAATAAAATAGTAGTTATTCTATTCATTATTATTTATCTTAATATTTTGGTATGACCCTTAGTTTAATATATTTTTATATTTATACATTTATAAAGTGTGTCACCGATTAGGTATTATCTGTATTATACTATCACATTACATTGTTTAAGGTTTTCACCCATTTATTGTTAAAAAAAAATAAATAAACAAATAAAAAAATGTACCTTATTAGGTTTATTTATAAGTGAACATTTTGTTAAACAGACACTAATTTATGATACATATTTGATTTAAAGTACTTTTTCATTATTAACACCAGTAGAACAGTATTACAATTAGCAAGCAATATCTGGGGTAATTGCTCATTTTATACACGGAGAGACATGTTAATAACTATTTTGCTGCAAAGTTCAAAACTTATAATATTAATATAATAATTAGAAATATTTAAGTAAAAATAAATATGCAATTCAAATAATTTTAACGGTACTACTCAATTTGTTTGCAAATATATTTAACGGATCAATTTTGATAAATCTAATGAAGACATGTGATAAAAATAATATAAAAAGTTAAAACTAGTCTTTATTAACTAACATTAATTGATAAACTGTTATCAGTTTAAAATTGAACTGTTTTCTAATGTTGTAGACAGATTCAGTCAAATAGAGAATGACAAAAACATTGTTTACGTACAACACTTGGGATGAATGAATCATAGAAAAAACTTTAGGAACTAACAGACAATTTATGTGACATACGGTGTTAAGACCACAGATCTATGAACTTTGATTATGCACCTACTTACCAGATAAAAAATTTCAGATCTTTAAATAATTGTCACTGAATCAAACCGCTACGATTTTTATGTTCGGTGGATTTTCTTTCTTTGTATAGTGTCCGTCCCGGAGTAGATGGCTGTAGGCTGTAACCAAGCAATTACGAGTCGGGCGAAAACAACCAGTTTTTCTTAGTCTTCTGAGAGAACGTTAAACGCGAATAGTCGACGATGAACGGTCAATATGACGGATCGGAACCGCTGCCGTGCCGTGCACATACGTCGGGGACATAACGTAACTGTAGTTCGCGTCGTCGTCCCGGCCGACATAATAATAACGATTTGGGGAAAAAAAAGTATATCGTAACGTTGTTGCACTGAATTCCCTCTCGCCGTCGAACGTCACGAGAGGAGCTACAGTGTTTTGTTTACAATCTGTATGGGCTCTATCGTCGGCCGCGACGTGCGAGTCCACGACTGATAACGCTTGACACATCTTGGAAGAACAAATGCACGCCGCGTATATTTGTCGTTTACGCCATGACGTTTACCGCACAGGATTAATAGACCTAACATAATCCTGCACCCGTAACAGGGCCGGATTAAGGGGGTTCAAGCCCGAACGTAAAATTGTCTCAAATATAAGAGACGAACGTTTTATTTTTTGTTTTCTTTACCCGCCTTTGGCGAAGTATTAATTACATCTAGACAAACACGTACGTCGTAATCGTTAAAATTAATAAAAAAATAAAAGTTTTCGAATTAGCCATTATAATTGTAAATGTAAAACCGATGGTTAGTGAGTTATGGTTAGGTAAGGATTTATTTTTAATCCCTTTTTGAATCGTTAAATCCAATGAAACGACAGTGAAATGACTTTATGAAATAATAACTGTCTTCTAAATCAATAGTCCGTTAAAGTATTCATGTATACACACACACGTATGTATATTAGAAAATAAGAACGAAAATTATTGCCCTTTTTCCCTAAAAGTGATCAGAAAAAGTATGTTACCTACCGAAAAAAAATAAGCGTACATTTATTTTTATACCAGGACGTACGAACTGGTCTGTACACACGACTTAACCGCTAAGTTGACCATCACGTGCCGGAATCATAGGCGTGCACAGGTAGTATGCAGGGTATATAGCTGCATACCCTGAACACAGAGCTTTGTTTCTAAAAATATCAAAAATAAATAAAAAGCATGACATATTTGGTTTTGTATTGCGCTATAATTATTATTATTCTTTTACATTCAGTTCCAGGACGTTTTCATTTGTTTTTGAAACACAAATCACGTACCTATAAATAGTTCATGCAAGTATAGAAATAAATGCTTAGCCTGGAGTATTATTATGTTTCTAATGTATGACTGGTTTCGAATTAAAAATGCATACATTACAAGTATAAAATTATACTCCGCGGGCTAAGCTTTATTTATTTGTTTTTTTTTTTTTTATTTCTATATACATTACATTATGATTATCAACCATTTACTAATTTTTATTTTATTTGTCATTATTGTATTGCAAACTATCTGACTCGGTAAACTTCGTACCGCCTAACCGTCAATTAATGTAGTGATACCTTTTAGCTAAACATAATTTATTATTTTTTAATTAACGTAATAAAACGAATACAAAAAATGTATTAAGTTCAGTGGATATTTAGGAAAACTACAAAAATCAAGTATTTGAACGGCGTTTCCAGTTATGGAAAATTCATCTTTTGTACAGTGAAAAAAAAAAAAACGGTGAGTGTCGTTTTTTGAGGAGAATATAGTCGGTCTTAGAAATTATTTTCAGTAAAATATACACGTTCGCCATTATTTATATTGATGTTATTAGGTGTATTTATAATATTTAATGAATTATTTGTATATTCATTAATACTTTTTTGTTCGTTTATTGACCGTACGTACGTAGATTAAATATATAATTATATATATTCAATTATACTATGTACCTATGTCGTAACCACTTAGTAAAATTGATAATTTCTTGAGGAGTTGTCAATTTCGATATATAGTATCGTTTTTCACACTTCATGTAATACTAAAGTATGTCGCAAAATTGTCACTAATTTAACATTGTGTAATGTTTTTCACAGTGTACCTAATCATTTACTTCGTGTAGGCAGGACCGGTCCAAGCAAAAATAGTGCACTAGGCAAAATCAAATTTTTCCGCTTCTAAAAAAAAATTGAGCTCTTATTTTAACTTAGCCCCTCCCCCTATTTTCTATTGGAAATCTCAGAAGTGATTGTATGGTTATTTATATTTTTGGAATAATTGAAAACATCCAGCGTAGGTCGTAATATACAGTAATATAATAACTTTAGAAAATATTATTTTACTATATAGATGAGTGGTTTTCACGTATGAATTAATTTAAATATTTTTTCATAAAACACCGATAGAATTAGAAAAAATGTACCTACGAGTTAATTCTGAAAATGCCACCCCTACTAAAGTGCCGCTCTAGGCAGGTGTCTAGCTCGCCTATACCTTGAGCTGGCTCTGCGTGTAGGTACAAAAAATATTTTATATTTATTATTATTCTATAACTATTCTTGTTTATTAAACAAAATTATCTTTTGAATAACCTAAACGTCTGGCAACAAATATCGAGGAAATGGAAATAATCATTAAATCACTAAAGCACAATAAATCTCCAGGGGCTGATAATATAAATCTTGAACTACTAAAAATTGCAGGGAAAGAAATATTAGTTAACCTACACCAAATTATAACGAATATATGGAATAGCAAATAAATAAAACAGGAATTGTCGTCATCAGTTATTTGGCTAATTTTCAAGAAGGGATCTTACAAAAGTTAATAATTATCGAGTTATCTCGATATTATACACAACGCATAAGATGCTCTCAATAGCTACCTTACGGAGGATAGAAACATTCGCAATTGACGTACCTAGTAAGGGAATATAATCAAGGCTTCTTAAAAAGAAGATCCACCAGTGACCAATCTTCAAGCTCAGACAAACAATGGAAAAGTATTATGAATTTGATAAAGAATTGCACATGACATATTTATAAATCTTAAAGGAGGGTACAATAACATCGACTATGGATAGTATTACAGAATTTTGGGTTGCCCAAAAAAAAAAACTAGTAAATTTACCTAGTTAAAATTTAAGGCTGAATGTGGCAAATCAAGAATATTATGTTGTTGAGTTTATCATAATACGTATAAGATATCTTGTACACGAAGTAGGTACCTAATTGAACACATTGTGAAAAAAATTACTCACGAGTGACTGTTTCGTGAAAAAAATTACTATTTAGTGGAAAATTTTCGTATTTCATGAGGTATAAAAAAGCTGTTTTTATTTCATGAAATATGCAATTTTACTAAGTATCTATTAACAATATACTCGTATATACATGTGTTATATATTTAATCTATAATAATATGAATATAATGTACACACTACGGTTTCTTTTCAGTTGTTTTTAAATGAAAATGTGGGTAGAAACCATACAGAATTTTTCATTATAGTTTGGTACAGAGAATTTAGGATATTTTCAGAGTATAGGTTGTAGATCACAAATCTTTAATTATTATGATACCATTATTATCGAATACTTTTTTAGTGTATTTCAATGTTTGATAATAAAATCCAACCGAAACTCTATGGCAAAGTTTGTGCCTATGATATTTATAAATCATATGTTATTATTTTAATGTCAAATATTAATTGAGTCATAATAGGTATAAGCTGCTTTTTTTAATCTTCCATATTTTTATAACATACATCATAACTTGTAATAAGCTGATAAGTACATTTCATTAAATTTTACTTGGAAGCACAATTGTAAATAATATCTATAGTCGTGCTTAGCGACTATTGAATATCATAAATAATAATAGGTAAGCACAATAAATGGATAAATCAGTTTTACCACCACTCACTAGTTTATTTAGTACCTATTTCATTTCATTTCAATTTTTGTTCAAGTAAAATCAAACTTACCATATGAACAAAATGTAATAACAAATAATTAAAATAATTTCAATAGTAATTTTAAATCCAACATATGATAGAAATGCTTAAACTACTGTAATCATTTATTTTTTAACAGGCTCAAAAATAATGACTAAATGATTTAATATCTATGTAATAATTTATTAAATTTATTTCTTGACAAAAGACAATAACAATAGTTATAATTAAAATTAACCACAATATGTTTGTAAATATATATATTTACTAATTGAATAAAAAAAATTTAAAATAACAGAAAATATATTAGTTTAATTCTTTGCCCAACAACGATAGCTGTTCCAAGAAGTCTGAAGCATTATTTACTACAGTCGATCCATAAACAATTTTTAATTGTGGTATACCAGGAGACACAGTTTTATTTTTTACGTACTCCAATAAATTCTGATATTCAATGTAATTGCCTCCACCAACTATAAATACTATAACTTCACTAAATGTATTTTTTGATTTAAATCCATCAGAATTACGTAATTGTTTAGGATCAAAATGACGAAATTCATCTGTTGAACTAGATGATTGTTTATTTTCTAATAATTCATCAACAATTCGAGTCACTGGAAATGTATGCTTTTTAACAACTAAATTTTTTACACCTTCCATAACAAATGAAGAAGTATGAGAAAGTAATTTTTCAAACATATTAACAGATTTGGTACCACCCCCATATTGATTTGATGTAGTTGTGATATTGGAGTACATTTTCCATCTTTTAATATATTTGAGTGGGCTAAGATCACAACCTTGTTTTTCTAAGGCTGATGAGTACATATCCAAATCTGAAACTGAAATGTTATGTGTATAAATATAATAAATTATGAACAGTCTCATTTTATCTTCAGCAGTTCCAGCTTCTTGGTCATTGATAATATCTAGTATTTGTTTATCCAATGATACTTGGCTCATAACTTTTTCCTCAAATTCAAACAGTAAATCTAAACGTCGAGATTTAATAACAGATAAAATACTTGTAGCTAAGTCTGTATGCATATCTATTAACCTTTTCTTTTCTAATAGTTGAGGCAAAGAATTAACAGCAGATGTAAGCTTAGCTGTATTATCACTCATCATGGCTAAAGCAACATCACTCTCTCCATCCAAGCCCATAGATTCTTTTAAGTGTTTGACTTCTTCTTCAGAGTTTTTTAATTGCTCTAATTCAGATTGAATTGATTCTGCTACTGTAGGAAATGGACTTCCTCTATGAGTCATCCAAAAAGAATCTTTTGGATCCAAATCAAAAGTTTTGGGTTTTTTTTGTTCTTGAGTTACTGTAACCCTGTTTAAATTTAATTTTAGTACATCATGGACTAATGCTTGGTAAGTCCACGTATGATGTAGAGGTGTTGCCATGTCAATATTACGATCAAGTACAATTAAAAGAGGCCGCTGAAAATTGTAAAATCCAGAATTCTCAGATGAAAATAAACTATTTCTAGTATCCCTTAAATTTTCTCTCAGCTTTTTATCTAATTTTTCAGCAACCATTTCTGCAGCATTACCACGGGCACTACGAATAATAGGTAATGTCCCAAGAGTAACAAATACTGAATACAGACCATCAACAGTATCATCCATCATTACTTCAACATCTGTATCTTTAGCATCAGCACGGTTCAATGCATAATATGATACAGCTTGTGAATTTTGATTGCTTAATATGAATAATTCATCTTCCAAAGAAATAAAATTTAAATATTGATCGTAAATTTTATGAACTTGGCTAACATTTTCTGTTTGTAATGCAGCACTAGCCAAGTCTTCCAATTTTTGACGACAAATAGCTGAGATGAAATTTAAATAATATTTTTCATACACATTATTTTGGAAATCCTGAGCTATTCGGTCAAGATTTTCTTGATCTGGCATACAAAAATAAATAGCAGCTACATCAGGTATAGGATCACGTTCAGAATGAATACTTAAATGCAATGTCACACCACATTCTCGTAGTTCTTTAATTGGAATTAATGGTGATAGGATGTCTTGACCACGACGATCATATATTAGTACTTTCCAAACAGGTTCTGAACTATTATCTTTAAAATCTGGACTATTTAAGTTGAGCATTTGCTTCAATGCTGCAATTTGTTTATCTCGGACAGATGTCATAATAATGGCTTTATGTCAATTGATTTTAAACAAAAAATGTTGATACCATAATTAAAATGTATTTTATAACATTATCTTTCAAACTTAATTTTATTATAGACACATTTCATTTTGAACTACATGTACCTGAAATAAAAAATAAATTTTAACTCAGTAAAAAATATAAATATTACCTATGTATTTATTTTAATTGTATGTCTTAAATATAAATAAATTCTATAAAAGTATCATTTATAAGCATGGAATATCCTAATACCTTTAGTTGGCATTAAGTTATGTGGTATTATGAATAGATTTAATTTAAAAAAACATTACTTATTTACAGTAGTGATATTTATTTAAGTATCAAATAAAATTATTAAATGAAATGTACAAATTTTTAAGTATAATTTTTCATTTTTTAGTAGGTAATAAAGACCATTATAAAATCAATGTTATTTTAAAATAGTAAATATATCTATAATATTTAATTTATAAGTAAAAGGCAAAACACTTACTTTAATTATAATCCAAATGTTTGATGTTAAAAATTATAGTTTACTAGTCAATAAAAACACTATTGTTCAAAATTAAAAAATTCAGTGGGACTCAAGTATTTAAAATTACTACTATTGTTAATAAATATTAAATTTAATGCCGTTTAAAAAAAGGAAGTACTCTTAAGTTCTAACTTTCAGATTTTTATCAGCATAGAAAAAAAATATTGTTATCAATGTAGTGTTGTCATCTACCTATTTACCACGTCAATTTTTTCATATTACCCGGTACAACGTGATCGCCTAACATAACCTCAAATATAATATCATATTTTTTTTTTTTTTTTTTGTTACCAAAATATTTAGTATTATAAAAGTTAAAAAGCTCAAGAAACTATTCTGCTTACTCTCCGTGTGTTTCGTTGTAATTTTGAGCATTTTAATTAATTTCTGTTAATCTAAATTATGGCGTTGAATCTGACGGTTAAAGTGCACCCTGTTGTATTGTTCCAAATTGTTGATGCTTATGAGCGTAGACATGTCGACGCTCATCGAGTAATTGGAACATTGATGGGTATTTTACATAAAAACGAAACCTAAACTATGTAGCTTTATTTGGCCTTTTATTTTTTAGGAACGGTCGACAAAGGCGTAGTTGAAGTGACAAATTCTTTTGGCGTCCCTCACAAAGAATATGAAGACACGGTTCGTACATTCTGTATACATTTATCAAATTAGTTTTGTTGTATAAATAAGCAACATTTTTTGAATTTCTAGGTGGAAGCTGATATTGTATATGCTGCAGATATGTTTAAAATGAATCAAAAAGTCAACAGATCAGAACAGATTGTTGGTTGGTGGGCTACTGGTAATGAGGTGACTACTCATTCTTCGACAATTCATGAATACTATTTGATTGAATGTAATAATCCAGTGCATATCACTTTGGACACAACATTGAAGAATGATAATATGGGTTTGAAGGCATATATTAGGTAAACTAATAATTCATTGTATCTAAATATTTTTATAATTTTGTATTAGTTTAATGCTTTTAAAGTTTGTATCAGAATTATAAATGAAATTGATACAAAAAGTATGCATCAGAATAATTAAAAATAAAATCTACCAGTTTGATTAATTTATTTGTTGATGATTAGCCTTAATGCCATAAAATATACTACTTCAAATCTGCTAAACCATCCTATCTTAGTTAATTTTTTATTTTATATTGGATTATAATGTAACTAAGTATTTTGTTACAGTACACAAATCGGTGTTCCTGGTGGTAAAACTGGAAATATGTTCATCAATGTTCCAATTGAAGTTACATGTTATCAACCTGAAACTGTTGGATGTATGTTATATTTATTCATATTTGCTATGTTATGTTTATTTGGTATTGTAGATATAATTGGTTGTAAAAAAAATTTATTTTCCAACATTTTTGTAAATTTTTTAAAGTAAGATTAAATTATGAATTACTAGGGAGAAACATGTTTATACTATTTTCTATGTTCATTAAAAAAAAAAAACTAAACTTTAACTGTAGAATTAAAAAACAAACTGATTCGATGGTAATATAATAATAATTTTTATTTACATTATATTAGTAAGCCTGTGTCAAAAAACAGTGGCTGTTGGACAAAAATGTCAAGAACCAATTGCTGAATTAGTTCAGATAGAAGAAGCTTCATCAAAAATCTCAGATCTTTTGGATGTAGTTTTATCATATATTGATAAAGTGTTAGCATCCAGTGAATACAATGCTGCCGACAACAGTCATATTGGTCGTATGTTACTCGATCTTATGCATAGCGTTCCCCATGTATCACCTGAACGATTTGAAGAAATGTTCAACTCTAATGTTAAGGTAAAATATTTTATTTTTTGTTTGTCTCATCATAATGTAAAAATAATATATTTATATATTTTTTAGGACTTATTGATGGTTATTACTTTATCTCAACTGACTAAGACACAACTAGAGCTCAACGAAAAACTTACATTGCTTAGTTTGTCATAAGTGTACTATATATAATACTATTATTATTATTAGCCACTGCAAAATAATTTTATAACTTCATTTTACATACATTTCATCAAATTTATTTTGTTACACTGTAACTAATTCAATTCAAGGTATAAACAATAATTAAAAGAATACTGTATTTAAAAATTATAAATAAAAGTATTTATTGTATTTTCAAACAATAAAACATACTTGAAATCCTTAATTTATAAATTATTTTTGGTTATTTATTTTTAAGATTTTTTTTACCTTTTTACACTATTTTTTCTTACAGTTAGTAAAAATATATTGTTGCTAATCTTTAAAACCCATCTTGCATAAATAATATATTAGACACAAATTTTTAAAAGGTGTTTAGGTGTTTTTTTTTAAAACTAAATGAAAGTACCCAGGAACAAAAACAAAAACTGATTGCTAAGTGTTAAGAATTGTTATATATATATATATATATATATTATATACTACTATACTATTATATATATATATATATATATATATATATATATATATATATATATGTACTGCAGGGACGCTGGAACATAATATATTTTGGAGGGGGGACAAACTGAGGGTAGTCTTTAATTAATGACTACTATCATACTAATTTAAACATTTTTTTTTTCAAGACAACTATTATAGTTTTCCTGGTAGGATAGAAAAAACAAATCAAATTATTTTAAAATCGCTTAAAAAGCCATGCAACTAAGAACCACGCATAAGCTGTACGCACTATATATGACAGTATCAGTACTATAGAAACATTACTTTTATCGAAAATAGACAAAGTGTATAATGTACTAAAAGATAAATATTAATGTTGATAACGCGTTTGTTTTTAACATTTGTTTTTCTTTATTATAAATTGCTCGGACGGGTGAGGACAAATTCTGTATAGCACTGTAGTCTTATATTCAAATCCATTTTTCACTTATAGACAGAAATACTGTGTTAACAGATAATCCCATGGTTTATTTAGTTAATTTAATCTATGATTTTATTATATTAATTGTAGATTTTTGTAAGTAAAATGATTATATTTTCTCAACAAAAGAATATTTAATGTTTTCAAACATTATTTACATCAATTACAACTATTTTACATAATTTCATAATCACTCCAGAGAGCTGTACACAGCATTTCCATAATTAAAATAATTTTCTTACAGTCATACGACTTATACAGTGCTACATTGATTGTATTACAGCCACTGATTCAGTTCAGTTTTACTACATGTTGATTTAGTTGATTGTTCGATATTTAATGAACTGTTGTGTTTTTAATAATATTACTTTTATTAATCTCTGGCAGAAATTCCATATTATTGATGAATTTCAGTTGTTAAAAGATAAACAAATATGGAGTGCTCAAAATTAATATATCAATCCATAGTTTTCTTATTATCTAATTGTGTTTAAGTCATACAAAATTATATAAACAAATGATTGAAGACAAGATATCAGATTATGAATGTTAATGATCATCAAACCATTGTTTCAGGTACAATTTATAATTGAATTTTTGGTTCTGCTCTTAATTCCTATAGGTTTGGTTGACACAGGTAGTTTTCATTTTTACTTCTTAGTGCTGTTTGCTAAAACATTTTAAATGCATACTGTGAACAATATAATAAATTAAGAAGTAATAGATGTTATTGATTGTATTTGAGCAAGGACATAGTTGTTAAGACAAAACCTTAAAATAAAGTAACTCGATACATTTTAAATCATTGTATGCAGTTAATCATTCGTTTTCTCAATAAAAATAAAAATAACAATAATTATAAGCTTTTTTTTTCCTTTAATCAAAATAACCTTACATTCTGAGTAAAAAGGAAAATTGAAATTTTTATTGAAAATGTAGAATTATTTTACTTTAATTTATAGAGTTCAAATCGTTATTTAAAAAAATGTTTTGAGTAATATTTAATATCTTTGTAGATAAATTAAAGTTTGGTTTTAAGTCCCATAACTAAAGGTAAATAAATAATTATTGGTAATATTCGTATTTTATTTATATTTACATTTGTAATATTTATGAATACAAAATTATATTAAGCAAAAAAATTATAGTTTAATAAAATTAAAGATTTAAGTAATCAAAATAATAACGCAAAAGTATAATTTAATTGTTAATTATAATCAAAAATGAGTCTTTATCTTTCTACAAAATGAACCATATAACTAATGTTAATATTACATACTAAAGTCCAATTATAATACTAAATTATAATACTAAGTCTTTGAGTTAAAAGAGTGTGGGTACCGCATGATACATTTTGTTTGACTTTGTAAATATTTAATAGATTTTTGATTGAAAAATAATTTTGTGAGCTCAAGCAAAACAAGTACAGGCCACTGAGCTAATTACAATAAGCTTACGTTTTTCTATAAAATGTATTACTTAGTTTGAAAACCTGTACTTCATTCTATACTGACTAGTATAATAATTAAGATTATTTCAAAATTTTAAAACTAAGCATGATTTATATTAATTTAACATCTTTAGGTATCACAGGTCACTGAAAGTATATTCAGTTTTTCGTTCGCTTATTTAAGACTTCATCTTTTTGAATCGACAATGATCTGATCTCCTTTGACTATGTTATAGCTATACAATCGTTTGTTGGGAAATTTCATTTCTTCAGGACCAACTACTGAACACACGTGCTGATCTACATAGAACACTCGCATACGGTGCGCTGGTATGCCGGTAAACTTTTCGAATTTTTGTTTGAATTCAGATACAGTTTGGTATACGTCTAAAATGTGTTGTTCACATTTGTCACCGCATATAATCTTAACCTGCACTTTACTTTCAGGCGTCAAGTCTATATTTACTAAAGGATCGAGTTTACCGTGTACTTGAACCAGTTCTTTATACCTGAAACATATTTTGTACAATTAATAGTTATATCCATGGTTTTTATTTAGAATTGTTCATTCTACAGATTAAAGAACATTGAATACCGTCGTGGAAAATCAAAACTCTTTTGAAACAAGAAACTATTATTGTTACCTGTCCGGGAGTTCATTTTCTGGCTTGTCCATATAGTATCTAATTAAGAAGCGTTCCGCGTCTTCTCTTTCGTCGGCAGTGATTTCTGCGCCCCCGTTCAAGGTCTGAATACAGGGTAATCGTGCGATTAACAACTGTCTACGTTCGTGTTCGGTGTATTCCTGCCTATCGGTGTTTTCCTGTAACAGAAACAACAAGTTAGTTCCCATCCAAACCGGAGATTATTAAAAAAGAGAATGACCGACTGTGCGATAACGTACTTCGAATATCGGGCAGCCCTGTATCCTTAGGTATCTTAATTCTGGGAATCTGCCTAAAATGTCCACATCATCCCATGTTCTGATTAACGTTCGGTTTAAGTTGAGGAATCTGAGACGCGGGAACGCGTCGTGTGGTGAATCCAAAGTCATATCTTAAACAATAACAGAACATTAATACGTTGGAATCGCGATAAATTGTCGTGCGGATTCTTTTTTTCGTCACTCAACAAACTCACCACAAAATCCGTTCCCTTGCCTCGGATAGGACAGAATGCCCAAATGGCAGTCCGGCGAAGGTGGCGGGGTCATGAGGGACTGCAGTGGACATTCAGCCAGCACCAGAGATTCGAGATTCGGGAACGCTCGTCCGAGTTTGCACACTTCATACCACGTGGACACAGGGTTTCCTTTACAAGTTTACCGTTTTATAATCAAAGCAACTACGTTTTGTCGTATAAGTACATATTATTAAACGCGTATCAATCGTGTACCGTAAAAGCTAAATAAATACAACAATTGATTACGAAATGGTTAGAATATGTGTTATAGGCACCTGTAAAATGTAATTTCTTCACCGAGGGCATTTGAATGGACTGACAGTCATCGTCGTCGTCCAAGTCTATAACATCGTAATTGTTCATGCTCAAGTGTATTTCTTCAACCCTGTAACAACAATTAGATGTATATAAATATATTTTTGATTAAATAAATCGCAGCTCTGTAGTATAAGCTCTTAACTTACATCGGTATTCGTTTCAGTATGTGTTTAAAGCTGCGCCATGTAATATTCGTCGAGTTCAATACAATGCTCTTCAAACATGGATATGTTTCTCGCAAGTCACCACAAGTATCGATTGCACTATTTATATCTGAACTAAGATTGTTAAAACTCAGGTTTGCAAATTTCAGTCGTGGCATGATATGTAAAATCTTAAATATCTGCAATCATTCATTTTCATCATAATCATTCATTATCTGTTTGAGCCGAATTTTTTTCATAAAAATGAAAATCATTATTAAACCTTTATAAGTTGAGTTGATATATTTAAACCCAGGAATTACTAGTTTTGCTTTGGGATTCGTAAAATATTTAATTGCATAGTAAGTGATTGTAATTGTGTTAAAGGTTCAACGTTCAATGCTCTATTATTATTTTTTGAGTTACGATGAAAAGGAAAACTCGATTTTGTTGAAAGCCGGTATACATTATGCAGGTTTTTTTTTTTTTTTTATAACTATTCGTTAGTTTTTCCCATTAAGAAAACTGTTAGAAAATTTGAAACACTACCCCCTTCAATATATCAATTAGAAAACATTTCCTATCATAAATATTTTATGATTGTGATAACATTGACCAAAATCGTGTACACAGACATAAAAAAAGTAGGTACACACCATGGTAAAGCCAATGCATTCCTAGTTTCACTTAAAATCTAAAACACGTTTATTTTATTAATAACAAAATATGGGTAGGTACCTACGCTTAAAAAGTCAATACCTTTTTAGAATTTTTTGTCAAGCCCTAATGAAAAGGTAAGACAAGCGTTCCAGTTGCTCGCTTCCTAATGCCAATAATCTGGTGATCAACGTGTTATTTGACTTTAATATCGTTATAAATGAGCTGAAGTGAAATAAACAGTAGTCTATACTGATGAAGGGTTTGCGATGGTCGCTTGAACAGAGTAGATAAGAGTTGTAACTGTGGAAATGAAGATTAGAAGAGAAAAACCGAAGAGGCTTGGATGTAATTAGGAGAGATACGAGGATAATCGGCGGTGTAAGTGCAAAGGAGCTGGGTATGGGGGTCGAGACATCGAATGAAGATGCGGTTACTGCGGTGGACTAAGTAACCGGTCTTGGAAAGTAATAGTGGTGGAAGTAGGGTTGAGAGAGAGAAAGGAGAGTGATGCTGCGGAATAGAATGAGCAATTTAAGAAAAAAAACTGCGTAAAACTAACCTCGCTCCACCTAGACAGACAGTTCTGAGCTAGATCCAATTCTTCAACGCCATGACACTTGTCCCTCAAGTCGGACTCTTGGCCAGCTGAATCGATGTCACAGTCGTTCAACACCAGAAGATTAGGTATCGTGTTCCTGGGGTTCTTACGTGGCACGTATATAGGTATGGGCATCTGGTCGAACGTGTCGTCTTCGAAGCATTGGTACTTCTCCACGATTGCCTCCAACAGCGATGGCATGATGGTGGTAATTGATTTTTATTGCCTCTCGCGTCCCTGAAATCAAGATAAAAATATGCTCTTTTAATTCGGGCGCAATTCATGGAATACCTGCAATACAATAGCAATCGTACGGGAATTGTTAATAACGATGATACACAGCATCGCAGTTGTATACATACATCGTATATACAAGTATGTATATAGGTGGAACACGTTTCTACCAAAAGTGTACCTTTCCCTTTTCCACCAATACCCGTTTCCACCAAATAATAGTTTGACTAATACCCGTTTCTACCAAATCATTTTCAATTACACAACTCACTAATTTAACATATTTTACACAATATCATAAATGTTAATATTAATATAAATATAGATCTTAATATGGTTTATATCAAACTCTCCAATGGATTCAATTTTGTTGACTTGTTTTAACATTAAAATAAAATACAATAGCAATGACTTTAAAAGCAAAATCAATTGGAAAATATTCCAAAGTGAACGATTTAACGATCATGAATGGCTGGAGAGTATAGCATCAAATTGAATGCTGTATTTTGTTTTAATTGTCGCATACTTGTCAGATACTAATAATGTTGAAAAAATATGAACAAAAATTGAATGTAACGATTGGCAAAAAACTGATTTGGTGGAAAATGGAAATATACAAATGTCCACTTTTATATACTATATATATATTTTATTTGATACATTTTTTCTATACATATTTATATTGTGGGTACATTTCCTTCCCCCTTTAGGCACACAACCGTAGAGTTAATATTTACAAAGAAATAATTAGTACCTACCCACGTGCGCGTGTTATATTACATTAACTGCTACGTAAAATATCTATTTCCCCGAAAATATCGACCTAAAAAATAACTTTTAATTTTTATGGAACTGGAAAACGAACACGAGGAATGAAATTAGAACCTGCGCGAGGACCAAACCTAGCTATGTAAATCGTTGTAGTCTGTGTCAAAACCTTGAAACTGAATATCGTGCATAAAATAATAGACGCGTACCTATAACTTTCACTTGAAACAATAACATTCAACCCTAGGATGTGAAGTAATCGTGTAATAATTCGTAAGTAATAAATCTCGTTTTCCTTACAACTATTCGTAAATTGTTGGTAATATAAGATGTAGTATCAATTATAAGTAGTCGTTCTTAATTAACTCTAGGTTTTATCAAAAAGTTGAAAAGAAGTTGACAAAAAAAAAAGTTTGAAAAAAAGTTGAGTCAAAAAAAGTAAAGCTTATGTATTTATATTTATGGAAAACATTTCATACTTGTTGACAGTTCATAAATTAAATTTTCCTGTAAAGATGTGCTCAAATCAGACTTGTCTCGGTGAACTATCCTGAACTATGATGGCTTTGAACATGCTCGTATAGTGATTACAATTTATTATTTATAATCAGTCTACGACCGCTACTACCGTGCCTAAATTATAAAATATTTGAAAACAATATTGGCAATTTTAATGTGATTTCGGATTTGATTGTTTTATTTCCAACACAATATTCGCACCAAATACCTATATTATATTGACTAAAGATATACATATATAACCTTATTTTAAAAATGTTGATCTTACACATCGAGTGTAGTACGTTGAAAATTCGTGCAGAATTATTTAATTTTCTGTTGCGCAAAAGTTAAACCAACAAACGATTTTAAGAGATTCAATTAATTTATAGTTTTATTAATGATCAGAATTATTAAACTACAACATCTATTAATGTAAAATGAAATACAGGTCCTTGTATTTATATATGTATTATAATGTATAAGGTTCAAAAAAAAAAAAAACGTGATCTCAAAAAACTCAGTCGTTTATTATATTTATAGGTACGCTCTTGGACCTGGAAAGGTACACGACCTGACTCCGGGTCAGGAACCTGTATTGTCATTGTCGTTACTCCAAGCCAGGTGGCATCATTTAAAACGACCATTTGTAGGTCTGTTCATAATAGTTTCGTATATTAATTGGGCTACGTCTCTATCCTCCTCTGCACTTTTTACATCCGTCAACGAAGAATACAAAACCAAGACGCGGTTCATTAATCTTCACAGGTTTCAACAGTTCTGCGTTTCATCGAAATTGTATTTGTTTAAAACGACAGATTTGTACACAATCAGTTAACCAACTCAACGAATGCGGAGATAAACGGTTACGTTATTTTATACGCACACTGTTAGCGAAATTGACTCGGTAGGAACTGACTTCATGACGGTGCGATTCTATATCCGTCTAGTAATTTTATGTTTAGATCAAAAGACAAAACTTGTCTAATGAAAACATACATGTGCACTTTGAATAGATAATATAAGGCTTGAACTATCATGTAGATTTTTCTGTTAATACATAATTTGAGTATACTATTATGCTATGAACGCAAACATTTCCTGGCGAGATATTTTAAGTTGGGTGGATCACTGGACGGGTGTTGTTCAGTTTGAAAGCAATACCATTGCATTTTTAAGTACGGCTCCGGGTGTATACGGAATAACTCTGTGGACTGGGGCAACTGTTCGTGTAAACAAATCGAGTGCCCTGAAGTAATAATTGTTGTTGAGAAAATCGAACGGTTATTGGTAATATGTATTTAATTAACAGGAATAGCATTGTAATAACATTGCAAGCCGAACGATTTATTTTAGCAAAACAAATTTGAAATATGCGTTTGCCAAGATAAATGTCTACATTTTTCACTATTTTTGTTTTAGAGTTCGTCCAATGTCCACCGATGAGGAATCGACTAGGAAGTTTAACAAATATATTTTTAAAACACCTACCGTATCTAATATACGCGCACTGATCGCCGCACCAAATTTTTGCAAACTCATATACTCCACCAGATTAAATATCAATACAATCCGAAAAAACTGTTAACAGATAAATATATATACACACACACGAATAGGTTTTTCTGGCTTCACCGAACAGACATAGATCTAATAACATACAACTTGTATCTAATCATGATAACTTGTTGGTTTCCGATTGTAGTAAACATTTTAACGGAATATAGATGAATTAAAGTCAAATCAAACACGCATAATGGTATATACAATACCTAATTTGGATTTTATTTGAAAATAATATGTACCGGTTTTCAGCGTGTATACTATAATTAAGGTTCTCTTTACCATTTACATACGACTGCAACCGACGAAAGTATATTCTTAAGTTCTTATTTATTATTGTATCATTATGAGCATTAAAAAAAAAAAAAAAAAAAAAATTGTTCGTAACATTACTTTTAATTACATAGACCTCAATAATATGATTCATACTTGAACTTTCTACACGAATAAAATTTATTACGATAAGAGTCTAACGAGAATGGTGAAAAAAACTTGTTTCTCAATACTTTGTATCTTCATGCTTAACTACAAGATTTTCGAAACCTTAGTTGATCTACGAGATAAATAGGAAAAATAAAAATCGGAAATCGCTTGACTGTAAAGACAACAATTACCTACTCGCAAATCGATCGTTTAACGTATCGGTTTACCATTCTCAACGAATGTACTGCGCGATTTATTTTTACGGCACCGCGTACACGAAATTTAAAAAAGAAGAATGAAAACCGTGCGCGGTTTCGGTAGTTTCAAACGGGTTACCGCGGTATCGCGGAGCCAGGTATTATTATAATATTACACTGTTTCGAGCGCTGTTACTACTATTTTTTTTTTTTTTTTTTAACACATCGATTTTCACCGAATCATGTTAAATTTCCGGGGAAAAAAAAAAGTGTTGCGTTAGATTTTCCACACGAATAATGCCGACGGGGAAACCGCTGACCAGAACGGTACCCTAAAACGTGTGTGTGTGTGTACCGAACGCTCATTGTTCTCTTGTTCTGTGTCCAATACCCAGACAACTGTTTACTGATCAGGCCTGTCACCCGGCTGGGTTTTCTCTAGCTGCGAAAACACGGTTAGGTTAGCACGGTAACGCGCTCACGTCCGTGACCGTCGTGTATTATAGGTACCATTATGACCGCTGCACTTTCGTCTTCCGTGTAAACGCGCGTATCCCGTACTCTTCCTGTTCGCAGTTAATGGGCGTTTCGCGTCTGCCGATTTATCGCGCTCGGTATCTCCCACCGTACCACCCCCAACGGAATGGTGGTTTTTAAAAAGAACTTGCCAAAACGAAGTTACCACCACGATAGCACGTGCGAATGCGGAAGCATCCGGGATGTAAAACATTATCACTGGAAAACGAACAGAATTCAATTCGAAAAACGGAACCCAAAGGTTTTCCAACTAAAACTACGTGGTCGTCAACGTTATCCATATCTGGACAGAAACAGGAATTCAAGCTGATCGGCGCCGGACTAACTAACTTGTAGCGGATCCGGATCGAGATAACGGGAGAGGGGATTTTTATAGTTCAAAGGCCACGTGTTCAAGATGTTCTATCACGGTTGAAAAATATATTTAAATAATTTCATATATATTTTAAATCGTAGCTAATACGTCTAAAATGACTAAAAAGCCTTGAATTGTAATTGTATGTTTTTATATTATATTGTTCTGGAACGGGGGTCGATCGATCTTTTCTAAATCAGCTCCTTCAACTAACAAACCAAATGGAATATCTGAATAAATGTAAACCTAGTAGATACTTGGTAATATATAGTGTAGGATTATTTTATTTTAACTATTTTCTTTAGGCCTTCATTAATTTGTATTTTTTACGTACATAAAGTTTTTTCAAAAGTATATTATATGATATTAATTTACAATAATTTGTCTGTGTAAAAAAGTACATGAAATTTTACTATGCAACTTAATAATAATAATTAATGATTTTGATTTAGGGGTTCCACAAAAAAAAATTTTGAAAAACACTGACCCACATGACCCACGAGAACTTTATTATATAGAATCAACGACATTAGACAGCTATATAAATGCGCAATATATATTATAATCAGGTGTATATATATATACATAATTATCAACGCACATTATCAACCTGAGATAAGACACGACTTACACGAATATTAATACTTGATCAAAACAAAGTTTCATATTTTACGAACAAACGTTTAGTAGTATTATTTACATATAAGAACTTGGAGAGCAATAACCTATTTATGCAATTAAATACAATAAGAATGAAGATAAATTTACCAAGTGCTATTTACTCTGTGATTATATACTTTGATTATTGTTTGATGAATATTAACATAACAATGGCCAACTGCCAATTGCCAAGAAACAATTATAAAAACCTCATACAACTATTTACTTATTAGATTTTTTTATTCGTGTAAAAATAATTATTATTACACAGTCGACATTTTTTTTTGGAGGGGGGGATTAACGAAATCTAAGATGAACGGACATTTGATACGTATAAAGAATAAATTATTGACTTAAAACGGGAAATGGTTGAATTGCACTTCTCGATCGAGACGGTAGAACTATTTAGGGTTAAATACAGGTATTAGTCGAACTGTACTAAGGTAAAAAAAAAATTGATATTTAATAATAAATCAAATTATATTTATTTCTTGTAACCACGGTTTTTTTTATCCGTGTTTATAACTAAACGCACGTATGAATTAGAATGAATCAGAAAATATTTTTATTTTGTTTTTATTTTTTTTTTTTTATTAAACTGTGGTTATAAGAAAAACATGTAATTGAAAATATTGTTAGTATATTATATTATTTTTTATATGCACATATATCTTGTACAATTTGATCAGTCGTTGAAAATGTGATTATTTTTTCAAAAATGTTTCTTGGATCGAATTCAGTTTGGTCATATTACTTATTTTTGACTCGAGGGCGATTCGACTAAAATAATTGCAGTTCAACCTTACCCTTAAACAGGACTACGTAGAGAAATTAAAATAGGATTTGAGTAGTTTGTTACTAGGACCCAAAATTAAAATGTACGCGATTCCATTTTAATGTATGTCATATTTGATGTATACAGAGGAGAAAAAAAACTTTAGCTCAATTAAGAACAAATTTCAATGGCTCGGCGCAACGAAGATATATTATCAAAGTTCATTGATGATGCATACTTTCTAAATGTGTAAGTTTACCAACGGCGCATGAAATCTAATTAATTATACATAACCACACCTATTTGTATCTTAACGGAGGTGGAAAACAATGTATGATGATGATATTAAAATACGTTATTTTATACGATAGTACATAAGAATGTATACGTATATGTAAGGTATATTAATAATATTTATGCTTTACAGAAATCAAGTATTGTTGGCTCATTTCAATACAATTATATTTATATTTATTTAAATGTAAATCGTGACCAATGTCCATTTTGGTGCTATAAAAATATAGGAAATAAAAATACGTGTTCATGACTTGCACACTTCTATACATATATAATCGCCTTAACGATGGATTATAGTACATACATTATAGTAACATACATATGGTATATTAATTTAATACATATTGTTGGCTCGAAGAAAACCCACAAATGACATCGTGATTGATATTACATAGGTAATATCCACCTCTTGGCATAACGTGCACGTATTAATTTTATTTAAATATTAAGAGTTAATGTAAGAGTTTATTTTAGATCAAATAAAATTTAATGCTATATATTAATATATGACTGGTACACAACCTTAACTTCGTATGATCATTTTAAATACAGTCGAGTCGCGATAACTCGCACCTCGATGACTCGAAAAACTTGTGTTTTATTCCTCTAGAAAATTCTTCCCCTATAAATTAGTTAGATATATCGAATAATACATATCATGAAGTGAATTTTTATCCCCCTTCAACTTCGAGTTATCGTGACTTGACTATATTTGAGATTTACGTATACTTCCAGACATTTTTTAAAATTCTCAGCTTGTTCGAAAGTACACTGACAGCCAACATTGATGTTTCACGCGTATCTATACTGTAAAAATTTTCTTCGATTACTCATTTTATAATGTACTCTATTACATTTTCCCAGAATAAGACGAAAAGAATATGGGATAGTGCGTCTCCTTGTCTCGATACGATTTTTACTTAAAAAGATTATTTTGCATTATGCATACTCACGTAAGTTATTCAAAAATATTTCCTATTATCTGTTCCGTAAATTTTAAAATTCGCTTAGAATACATTTTCTAAACTTGTTCTTCGCATTGTTACATAATTGATAGTTTTAAGTTGATATAAAATAAATATCTTAATAAATAATCTTTATAATTCTTTATAATTAGGTGCTTTAATATTTAACCCTACACCGTTCCACTGTTCCGGTAATATTTGAATTGTATTACAACGGAATTTATAAGATACTTATAATATATGTTAAACATAATACTGATTACGCAAAGATATCAGTGAATTATTATTTTTTATTATCCATTATATTATCATAGGTCTAATCAAATAGGAAAATACGAATAAGGTAACTTTTATTATTCGACTAAAATATTTTACAAGATAACATTAATTGTACATCCAATTACTGTTCTGTAGAATTACTGAGACTTATAATACATTTATTTTTATTATTTTTTAAATACATTTAATGTATAAGGTGCATACCTATGTTGATGTTTATGAAAGCTATAGATGTAAAGTCTTCGATTTAAACAAAACAATTAATTAGAAACTGCATGTAATAGTTTTAAGAAAAAATCAGGAGTATCGGGATATCAAGGCACTCCAAAATGTACTTAATCAGATGACATAAGTAATAAGTTATTACAAATAACAATCATTTTAAAATATGGAAAATAAAAACGAATTTTCTTCAATCTAATAAATAAATTGCAATCTCATTGAAGACGATTAATACTACCAAGATTCATCATTCTTTCCGAATAAAAAATGAAGCTGAATAATATTAAATACTTTTTTACATTTTAATCAATTATCGTGTATAGCGTGTACCTCTCAATTAATTGACTATTTTTGTCCGACGTAATAACGTTTTACACAAAATAACTTATTTTATAAAATGTGTTCGGATTGTAATTATATTATTTTAAAGCAAAATATATATAATGATCTCATTGTAAGTTTAAATATTACAAGTGTTCAACATATAAAAATAGGCTAAAGTAATTTGCCAAGAGAAACGCGATTATTACTTAGCATAATGAATGTTCAAACGCGGTATAATAATCCTGTTCTTACGAAATTACCAAAATTACGTAAGCAAATAAAAGTAGTTTCATGATTAAAGTACTGCGTATTGTCTGTTCATTTCTATGCATATTTATTTATTGGTTATACCCAAAGTACTCGTAAATAACAATTAAATAATCATAAGCGTTTCTTCAATAATATTTTTGAGTTTTTAACACGAGACAAACGATCGTACGATGTTGTTCATTAATATATTTTTACGTTATTGTAAAACGATTCAAACACGAATGAGCATTGCATTAAAAAAAAAACCAAATCTCAAATCATGTGTTGTACATTAACGCTATTATTAGTTTTTCATATTGCAGTAAAATTAAAAGTGAAAATATAAAAGAACAAAATAATTAATCGAATAAACCATGGCGGAAACGTGCACATCACGTCAAATATTACATTGTAATCTGCTGAGAAAAGTCTATTAATATATTTTATTGTGTTGCATTACGTGTATTATTATTTGTACGTCGGTTTCGCAAAGACTGCGGTCGGCCTCGTAAGTTTTGTACGTACCGCCACCGCGCGATATTATTAAGCATTAAAAGTAATGCATAATATACGATTTGCAAGCTGGCAAATCCAACGGAAAGAATCACCGCGGAAGAAGTGAAATGCATTCCCCAAGAATCTGTGTCGGGTATCAAGATCTATTTGAATTTTCTGACCGTTCGAGTGGAGAAACTGGGAATGTTCATTATTCTCGAAATCGCTCGGACAATTCGGGAGCGTTTACACCACGGATATCGTGTCGGCGTGATACGCGTGTAACACTTCGAACCGTAAAGACAAACATTTGATCCGGAAAACGTATAAAGCGCGTCTAGATCGGGAGGGCTGCGATTGAGTGTTTTTCTTCGACAACCCCTACCGATCAAAACAACGAAGTTTCGAAAGCCGCGAAACATTTTTCCTCAACGTTCTGGAGAGATGACTGTGCCGCGGAACAGAACGGGTACTGCGATCCAGTGCTGACTGGGTCAGTGCTGCTGTTGAACAATTTTATTGAAATCGAGCGAGGATGGGCGTTGATGGGTCCGGACCAGCGTAAATGTCGGAGAAATGTTACGAAGAAAAAAAAAAAAAACGACCAGAACGTCGGGGGTAAAAGTAATCTCAAAGGTTCCCAAGGAGACTTGCGAATGAAACACGTACGACATGCGTTGTTTATTGACGTTTTAGATTTTACACATTTCCAACCCCCTCCCGGAACGTTTTCCCGATCGAGGTTTGTGCGCGCGTACAGGTTAGTCCGTCAACGCCGAAGACGACGGCGGTCTCGCGGACGGTCGGGACACGGGATCGGCGGCGGAGCGGTGCGTAGTCGTCGACCTCGAAAACGATTGTGCGACGCGGTCGTAATCGAATTACGACGTAATACTACGCCGCCCGCCGCCCGCCGCCCGCTCGACGCGTTGTTATTGTTCCGTCGGTTGGCGTGTTTGTAAATAAAAAACAGCTGAAACGTGACGGCGGCGAGGGGAGAACGGCGGGTGACCCAGTGGCCGCCGTGTTTTTGGCTCGTCGACGCCGGATTGCGTTCTGCGACCGCGCGCGCTGCTGTAATCGAAATTTTCTTCTACCCGACCGAAAGAATCGACGGCGGCCTGCACGGACGACCGAAACCTCGTCGTCAGCCTTACCCGTCGGAAGGTTCGGAGCCGCGCAACCGCACGGGAACAAACTAACCCGGAGCGAACGGCCGTCGAACCGGTTTCCCCCCCGTGTCGGTCGACAACGAAATCTCCCGGGGACGCCGATCGGTCGCGAGAACGCGTTAAATAAGACCGTCGCGACAACCGTGTACGCGGTAGGTTAGAATAAGATCATTCGGAAAACTCGGTGCTGACCTTGACCGGGGTGCTACAGGTCCCTTCGTCGTGGCGCCTCCTCCGTCGTCCACGGTTCCGCCGAACGTCCTGCGGTCCGCTTGCCAGACGACTCGTCCCCGCGGTACATCAACGCGCGAACGGAACGGAACACGCGCGACCGCACGCGATAAGATTGAAAGCGCGGTTTTGCCCACCCGGTGTGCGATCCGCTACGTCGCCCGTCCGGTTTTCGATATTTTCTTCGCTCGTTCCTCTCCGTCCACCCACCGGGCGGGTGTGTTCGGTTCGCCGTGTGTTCGCTCGACGCGCACCGCACAACAGTCGCACTGCAATTGCAAGCGGCGGACGGCGCGCGATCGGCTGCAGCGTACCACGCACTCGGCTATCTTTTGTTCTTCGCGCGATCCCTACTACGACGCGCGCAACGTTGTATCGACCGCGCCGCTGGCCGCGCCACCGTCGACCGGGCACCAGTGCACCACCGCGCGTGTTCGTCGTACGGTCGCGTCCGTCCGTGGCCCCAACAACAACAATAACAACAACAACAACAACAACAACGGTCAACGCGACGCCCCCGACCGGGATCGGGATCGCTAAAATTTTTAAGTAGCACCCCCCCCCCCCCCCCCCACCGAATATTGTTTCGTGGTGCACGCGCAGTTTTTTCATCGGACCGATTCCTACATTCATTTATTGTTTCGTTTGTGATCGTTTAACACGTGAAAGGTGTTCGTTAAACGTGCACAACAGATAGGTATGATCGTACCGACACAACCGTCAACCGCCGTACCAAAATTGCATTACTGAAGCTACACGTTTTAGACCTCGAGAAATTTTTAACCGGTTTCCGCCTGTACGACGGCAACAACACCATAGGCATGTTTGGGTTAGCTAATCCCTAAATCAAATATCTCATTAGCCCCTTCTAAGAATTGTTCGAGTTTCGTATGGTTGTGTTTTATATTTTATTCGAATTTCGGGCTCGTTGATATGTTTTTTTTTTTTTTTTTTTTTGACAATTATTTGTGATCTCGTGAAGGAAATCGTTAAAAATGTACCTGATGTAAGTGTAAACACCACTAACCATGTTCCAAAACTACATTGTTGACGCTAAACATTTTGGTCCTCGCAAAATTGTTTAAGGATTTATATTACCCATAGGTTTACAACGGCAGCAACTGAACCATACATTATTTCGCATCATAGAAACAGTTATCGTTGTAAATCATAGATACCTGATTAATAGTTATCGTCTAATGTCATAACTAACCGATGTTAACTGTTTAATATGTTCGACAGTGCACGTTTACAAAACATGAGATTATTTTTTGAAAAACACTTTTTAAAAACGACATCGATCGGTTGATACGAAAAATGTCATGCGTGATGGTGCGTATTTTTTTTATCATCGATTTAACGTCGCACTGATCGTTTTGAACTTGGTTTCAAATGTTTCGATATTTATCCATTCTGTGTGTACATAACAATCATCGGCGGTTCTCAATTTTTACTTTTTTTTTTCAATCAATGCTAATGGAAATATTTTACACGTCTGTTTCGACTGTAGAGAGGTTATATAATAACCTATTGCGTTATAAAACTAGAACCAATCTACGTTATTATTAGCTGGTTTTTCGTCATTTTTATTAGATCCCGATTTTTATTGCCACATACATTGTACGAATAAACAAATTTCTAATTGTGTGCAAACCATTTTTTTTCATTAGATATTAATCGAGAAAAAATGTTTATCTGAACTTGAAAGAATGTATGAAATCAATTTCGAATATGTTCTAAGTTCTCGTACGTCTCAGGAAGTGTTCATACATAAATAATGCGGCAAAATCAAGTCACTTTAGAATATAGTTAAAATTTAGTTTTATAAACCATACTTTTTCTTGTTTATTATATAATACTGTTATTATTTTACATTTTTTAACACTGTATTTTGATCATAATATATTTTTAAAATTAAGACTAGTGAATAGCATTTTAGTAAAACGGCAACTTTGTTATATAAATAGGCCTAAATAATGTATAGTGATATTCCTTTTAGTTTATTTGAAATTAAAATAGGTCTCCATCCTCAATCTATTTACGTGAAATATATAAATAATATATACTTCATCTTTATACGCCCTTTTTGGTAAATTATAAATATAAAGTATTTATTATTATAATTTGGTCATTTCGAATCATTTATGCTATTAAAATAAAGAAGCTTAAAAGCGGATACTTCAATGAAGGAAGTTGAATAAGTGGACAAAATTATATTCACCGTAAAAACATTACTTCCGGGCAGGTGGAAAATAAATAGGGGAACTATGGAACTTATTTTTAATAGACAATTACAGTTTAAAACCCTATTGTGTTTAATAAACATAATCATGTACATACAATAGGTAAATGTTTTTTTTTTTTTAGATAGAACTCATAGCTATTAAAATCTCGTTTTTGGTGTTTATATTTATTACATTTATACTTTTATTTTGTTGTTCAATATCTTATGATTAATTTTATTTAAATAAAAGAATCTTATGCATGCATAATAATTCCTTGATTAACTTGAAATTAATTATTTGAAAAAAATACGTTAATTTGGTAAATTTATTTAAAAATTACATACAAAGTTAGTTAACTTTATAGGTTATCATTGTTTTCGTAATTGGTTAAATTCTTGTAATTTCGAATATTTTTAGAGTTCAATTAACCATAAGTGATTTGTGGGTATTATTATTTCCGATAGATTCCACAATTATAGTTTATTAATTTGTCAGTAACACGTTTGCTAGACGATATAGAAAACGTAACAACATACATTTTTAAACCAAGTAATTTTTATATACCACGGAATCTAACGTAAATTAATACACTTTTTTTTTGTAGTTCCATAGGTAAAAAATAGATTTAAAAAAATAATTTGGAAGAATTGGAATTTGCTTTTATAGTTTTAATCGTCGTTTTCCTGCGTGTAATTGAAAACAAGTAATACTTCCTAGTTTGAACTAAATATATTTTTTAATAACATCTCTACGTGAAATTTAATCAAACAGGAATAAATGTTTTGATACCATGTGTAGGAAGAAATATTAATAAATATAACATAATTATTATATCTAGCGAAAAATTTTCCACGGTATACATATATGTAAAGAGAAACATTAAAAAAACGAATTACGGTTACAGTTATTTTAACTTTGAAGTGTGACAAGACTGATGATGTGAGTGACTAGAGAAAAATTTATAATAATTATTACTCTATTTTTGTGATTAAAATAAAATTCAAAAGATCTCCTACGGATATTCGCGAACTGCGATTTGGATTCTTCCTTGTCACGTTGACTTTCGATTCCTGAAACTTCATACTTGGCACCCGCAGCAACGATACGAGTGGATCGGTATACTCGTTATAATATTACAATATTTATTGGACAATTTATTTTACAATGAAATTATAATTATATTTAGTTATTATGATCAGTGTTGCGTGTCGTTGGTCGCCTATCTAAGTATGCCAAAATAATTGCAGATACATTGATTTACTAAGTAAGTGTTCAACTTTCTCCTGTCGAAAAAAATAAAAAGATCATCATACTGGAACGTAGGAGAACCCTTTTGCTATTTAGACACCCACAGTCAGTACCCACGCGCGCGTACTTGAGGAGAATGTCGCAGAATAAATACATGATTACAACCGGTCTTCTAAACACATGCTCTGGATCTGATTATTTTTTATAATTTTTCCAATCAAACTAAAAGTTTGTAAAGTGTACAGTTACTTAGAAATCGTTGCTGCATATAACATCAGCAGATCCAAAACAAAACTAACTGCAAGGTACGTGTCGAGTTCTACTAAGTATACATGTTCGAACCGAATGTCAGGAGAGTTGAATATTTAGTGGTCTGTATATTAATGAGAAAATAAAACCTATTTTATGTAATGCATTCTGTATATAAATACTGGGTTTCAGATATTTGATATTGTATGGTTGGTGTACGTTTTTTAATTCATATCAATTAAAAATTTTATTCACTTAAAATCAATTTACGCTAAGCATTTGAAACAACTCAATAATATTTAAAACTATATATATATTACATAGAATAACAATAGGTTTGATTTGTTATCCCTGGACAAGTATAGTTAATGAAAAAAATTTCGTATTATTTACAATTGTTGTCGTTGGGCAAAAAAGAAAGTAGAAAATATATTTTTGGGTCTACTTTTTTATGAATACGCAGTAAATTCTAATAGCCGTGATTAACAATTTCAATGCCGAAGAACAATCGAAACGATGACAAACACAAATTTTAAAAACTCATCGTTCTTCTAAAATTTGTATTATATGTTTAATGAGTTAAATCCATTATATTTCTCGATTTCATAAGAGTATTTATACTTATAATATAGAACCACAAGAATGCTGATAATAGTGGTCACGTTACATCTAATAAAATACGTTTTCACGAAAAATATTTGAACAATTAATCGGCATTAGAAGAGCTTACAGATGCATTAAAACATGTACAATACATTTTCGGGAATCGCGATACAATATCGATTAATTTGTGCTAAATGTGCTTCGTATTGAAATTACAGTTATAGTTAATCATTTTACGTGGCAGTTGTCTGTGAATACATAAAATTATCATTATTGTTTTGCTAAGCAAAAGTGTAATGATAAATTATTTTTTTTATGGATCATTGTAACTGACATTACTAGTGACACTAGAATCAAAGGCAAAGGAGTCATCTATTTTTATAACAATAATATGTTCATGTACATGTACTCGTAAGTGAAGAATGCCTATCACATTCTGGAATGCCAGTCACCACGTTGAACTTTTAACATTAAATTGATACCTACTATTTGTTGGAATCATATTGTAGTACCTAATCAATTCCGAATCACTGAATTATTTCAAATATTACCTACTCTAAATGTTTAAACAAATTCATCGATCAATAAATTACTATCGATAAGGTTTTTAACGCATGCGACTTTCGAGTTAAATTAGTTTTAGAGTTGAATAAAACCATTAGGATTTCACATTTTATATACTTCGCCGTCTTATCAGTGGTTCTAATATTCAGTATATAAAAAAAAAATCAAATAGACCTTGAATTGACGATTCAAGTTCCTTTTATTTCCATAGCTATGATAATACGTAATGATGCCGATCTATTAGTCTTATAATGTGTGTATTTGAAAAAAAATACCATACGTTTGAATCTATTTGTTATGAAATAAATGTTTTGTGGGTTATGACTCATAACGTGAATTGCTTTGTGTTCTACCAACTTTCCATTTTTATGAGATATTGATAAAATGTAATACAAACATCCTGAAATGTATTGGAAAAGACATTTTTAAAACTC